AAGTCTCTCTACCACAGGTCTCTCTACAACAGGTATCTCTACCACAGGTCTGTCTACCACAGGTCTCTCTACCACAGGTCTCTCTACCAAAGGTCTCTCTACCACAGCTCTCTACCACAGATCTCTCTACCACTGCTCTCTACCACAGGTCTCTCTACCACAGGTCTCTACCACAGGTCTCTCTACCACAGGTGTCTCTACCACAGGTCTATCTACCACAGTTCTATCTACCACAGGTCTCTCTACCACAGGTCTCTCTACCACAGGTCTCTCTACCACAGCTCTCTACCACAGATCTCTCTACCACAGGTCTCTACTACAGGTCTCTCTACCACAGGTCTCTCTACAACAGGTCTCTCTACCACAGGTCTCTCTACCACAGGTCTCTCTACCACAGGTCTCTACCACAGGTCTCTATACCACAGGTCTCTACCACAGGTCTCTACCACAGCTCTCTACCACAGGTCTCTCTACCACAGGTCTCTCTACCACAGGTCTCTCTACCACAGGTCTCTACCACAGGTCTCTCTACCACAGGTCCCAACCACAGGTATCTGTACCACAGGTCTCTCTACCACAGCTCTCTACCACAGGTCTCTACCACAGGTCTCTACCACAGGTTTCTTTAACACAGCCCTCTACCACAGGTTTCTCTACCACAGGTCTTTACCACAGCTATCTACCACAGGTGTCTCTACCACAGGTCTCTCTACAACAGGTCCCTCTACCACAGGTCTCTCTCCCACAGGTCTCTCTAACACAGGTCTCTCTACAACAGGTCTCTCTACCACAGGTCTCTACTACAGGTCTCTCTACAACAGGTCTCTCTACCACAGGTCTCTACTACAGGTCTCTCTACCACAGGTCTCTCTACCACAGGTCTCTCTACAACAGGTATCTCTACCACAGGTCTATCTACAACAGGTATCTCTACCACAGGTCTCTCTACAACAGGTCTCTCTACCACAGGTCTCTCTCCCACAGGTATCTCTAACACAGGTCTCTCTACAACAGGTCTCTCTACAACAGGTCTCTCTACAACAGGTCTCTCTACCACAGGTCTCTACTACAGGTCTCTCTACCACAGGTCTCTGTACCACAGGTCTCTCTACCACAGGTCTCTACCACACGTCTCTACAACAGGTCTCTCTACCACAGGTCTCTACTACAGGTCTCTCTACCATAGGTCTCTCTACAACAGGTCTCTCTACCACAGGTCTCTACTACAGGTCTCTCTACCACAGGTCTCTCTACAACAGGTCTCTCTACCACAGGTCTCTCTACCACAGGTCTCTCTACCAGAGGTAGCTCTACCACAGGACTCTACCACAGGACTCTCTACCACATGTCTCAACCAGGTCATCATTGAACAGAGGTAAATCACAGCTTTCAATACAGGTCTTTATAATATAGATAACAAACTTATAAAAACTTTTTTTTTTTACGACATCCCGAGGCCTTGCACTTAATATAAGTGTTTGAGATATAATAAAAACAGCTTTATGTCCATCCTTGTTGAGAGAAACCATTATAACACTTTATGGATTTTTTATGTGCAGCGACATATTTACTTTGCTAAGTTTGGAAACACCTTACATGAAACACAGGTGTGAATTGTATTTGCACACCTGAAAAGGCTGTTAAGATTACTATTGAGCTGTTTTGAATGATTCTTCAGCATGAACCTATCTGAAAGGAATATTGGAGAACCCTCCCCTCTCCCTCTTTCCCTCCCTCCCTCCCTCCCTCCCTCCCTCCCTCCCTCCCTCCCTCCCTCCCTCCCTCCCTCCCTCCCTCCCTCCCTCACAGAAGCACACACACACGCACAATTTATTGGCAGCAATTACATTTGAAACCCCACCTCTTTAAGGAATACCTGGGATAGGATAAAGTAATTGATAGACCTGTGTAAGTAGCGGTAAAATTGTAAAGTGGTTATCCCACTGGCTATAGGGTGAATGCATCAATCTGTGAGTAGCTCTGGACTAGAGCGTCTGCTAAATGACGTAAATGTGCCCTTGAGCAAGGCACTTAACCCTAATTGCTCCTGTAAGTCGCTCTGGATAAGAGCGTCTGCTAAATGACTAAAATGTAAATGTAATTAAACCATTGGGATGGCTAAATCTATCCGAATGATGCACCTTGTTATGATTATCCAATACTCTCCTCGGTCCTCCCTCCTTCCCCTCTTCCTTAGAAGAAGAAAAATACTTTAATGACAATTTGCAGCGAAGGCCCGTGCCATAAATCTAGCCTGTGTCTATAGCTGCAATTGATGGGCCAGTGTAAGTAGATGCTAGTGATGGGCCAGTGTAAGTAGCTACTATTGATGGCCCAGTGTAAGTAGCAGCTATTGATGGGCCAGTGTAAGTAGCATCTATTGATGGGCCAGTGTAAGTAGATGCTAGTGATGGGCCAGTGTAAGTAGCTACTATTGATGGCCCAGTGAAAGTAGAAGCTATTGATGGGCCAGTGTAAGTACCAGCTATTGATGGGCCAGTGTAAGTAGCTTCAAATGATATGCCAGTGTAAGTACCTGCTATTGATGGGCCAGTGTAATTAGCTAATATTGATGGCCCAGCGTAAGTAGCAGCTACTGATGGGCCAGTGTAAGTAGCTGCTATTGATGGGCCAGGGTAAGTAGCTGAAATTGATGGGCTAGTGTAAGTAGCTGCTAATGATGGGCCAGAGTAAGTAGCTGTTATTGATGGGCCAGTGTAAGTAGCTACTATTGATGGCCCAATATAAGTAGTAGATAATGATGGGCCAGAGTAAGTAGCTGATATTGATGAGCCAGCGTAAGTAGCTGATATCGATGGGCCAGTGTAAGTAGCTGCTAATGATATGCCAGTGTAAGTACCTGCTATTGATGGGCCAGTGTAATTAGCTAATATTGATGGCCCAGCGTAAGTAGCAGCTACTGATGGGCCAGTGTAAGTAGCTGCTATTGATGGGCCAGGGTAAGTAGCTGAAATTGATGGGCTAGTGTAAGTAGCTGCTAATGATGGGCCAGAGTAAGTAGCTGTTATTGATGGGCCAGTGTAAGTAGCTACTATTGATGGCCCAATATAAGTAGTAGATAATGATGGGCCAGAGTAAGTAGCTGATATTGATGAGCCAGCGTAAGTAGCTGATATCGATGGGCCAGTGTAAGTAGCTGCTAATGATAGGCCAGTGTAAGTAGCTGCTATGGATGGGCCAGTGTAAGTTGCTGTTAGTGATGTGCCAGTATAAGTAGCTACTATTGATGACCCAGTGTAAGTAGCAGCTATTGATGGGCCAGTGTAAGTAGCCACTATTGATGGCCCAGTGTTAGTAGCAGCTATTGATGGGCCAGTGTAAGTCATTGCTATTGATGGGCCAGTGTAAGTAGATGCTACTGATGGGCCAGTGTAAGTAGCTGCTATTGATGGGCCAGTGTAAGTAGCTGCTATTGATGGGCCAATGTAAGTAGCAGCTAGTAAGGGGCCAGTGTAAGTACTTGAAATTGATGGGCCAGTGTAAGTAGCTGCTACTGATGGGCCAGTGTAAGTAGCTGCTAGTGTTGGGCCAGTATAATTAGATGATATTGATGGGCCAGTGTAAGTAGCTGCTATTGATGAGCCAGTGTATATAGCTGCTAGAGAATGGGCCAATGTAAGTAGCTACTAGTGATGGGCCAGTGTAAATAGCTGCTAGAGATAGGCCAGTGTCAGTAGCTGCTACTGATGGCATAATGTAAGTAGCTGCTACTGATGGGCCACTGTAAGTAGCTGCTAGAGAATGGGTGAGTGTAAGTAGCTGCTAGTGATGGGCCAGTGTAAGTAGCTGCTATTGAAGGGCCAGTGTAAGTTGCTTCTTGTGATGGGCCAGTGTAAGTAGCTGCTATTGATGGGCCAGTATAAGTAGCTGTTAGTGATGGCCAGTGTAAGAAGCTGCTATTGATGGGCCAGTGTAAGTAGCTGCTAGAGAATGGGCCAGTGTAGGCTCCTAATAGTGATGGGCCAGTGTAAATAGTTGCTAGTGATGGGCAAGTGTAAGTAGCTGCTATTGAAGGGCAAGTGTAAGTACCTGCTGTTGATGGGCCAGCGTACGTAGCGGCTAGAGAACGTGCCAGTGTAAGTAGCTGGTAGTAATGGGCCAGTGTAAGTAGCTGCTAATGATGGGCCAGTGTAAGTAATTGCTAGTGATGGGCCAGTGTTAGTAGCTGCTATTGATGGGACAGTGTAAGAAGCTGCTATAGATTGGCCAGTGTAAGTAGCTGCTAGTGAGGGGCCAGGGTAGGTACATGAAATTGATGGGCCAGTGTAAGTAGCTGCTACTGATGGGCCAGTGTAAGTAGCTGCTAGTGTTGGGCCAGTATAATTAGATGCTATTGATGGGCCAGTGTAAGTAGCTGCTATTGATGGGCAAGTGTAAGTAGCTGCTATTGAAGGGCCAGTGTAAGTACCTGCTGTTGATGGACCAGTGTACGTAACGGCTAAAGAACGTGCCAGGGTAAGTAGCTACTAGTAATGGGCCAGTGTAAGTAGCTGCTAATGATGGGCCAGTGTAAGTAATTGCTAGTGATGAGCCAGTGTTAGTAGCTGCTATTGATGGGACATTGTAAGAAGCTGCAATAGATTGGCCAGTGTAAGTAGCTGCTAGTGAGGGGCCAGTGTAAGTACATACAATTGATGGGCCAGTGTAAGTAGCTGCTACTGATGGGCCAGTGTAAGTAGCTGCTAGTGTTGGGCCAGTATAATTAGATGCTATTGATGGGCCAGTGTAAGTAGCTGCTATTGATGGGCCAGTGTAAGTAGCTGCTATGGATGGGCCAGCGTAAGTTGCTGTTAGGGATGGGCCAGTATAAGCAGCTACAATTGATGGCCCAGTGTAAGTAGAAGCTATTGATGGGCCAGTGTAAGTAGCCGCTATTGATGGCCCAGTGTAAGTAGCTGCTAGTGAGGGGCCAGTGTAAGTCATTGCTGTTGATGGGCCAGTGTAAGTAGCTGATATTGATGGGCCAGTGTAAGTAAGTGCTATTGATTTGGCCAGTGTAAGTAGCTACTACTGATTGGCCAGTGTAAGTAGCTGCTAGTGAGGGGCCAGTGTAAGTAGATGCTAGTAATGGACCAGTGTAAGTGGCTGATATTGATGGGCCAGTGTAAGTTGCTAATAGTGATGGGCCAGTGTAAATAGCTGCTAGTGATGGGCTTGTGTAAGTATCTGCTATTGATGGGCAAGTATAAGTAGCTGCTATTGAAGGGCCAGTGTAAGTACCTGCTGTTGATGGGCCAGCGTACGTAGCGGCTAGAGAACGTGCCAGTGTAAGTAGCTACTAGTAATGGTTCACTATAAATAGCTTTAGTGAAAGGCCAGTGTCAGTAGCTGCTCTTCATAGGCCAGTGTAAGTAGCTGCTATTGATTGGCCAGTGTAAGTAGCTGCTATTGATGGGCCACTGTAAGTAGCTGCTAAAGAATGGGCCAGTGTAAGTAGCTACTAGTGATGGCCCAGTGTAAGTTGCTTCTAGTGATAGGCCAGTATTAACAGCAACTAGTGATGGGCCAGTGTTAGTAGCTGCTATTGATTGGCTAGTGTAATTAGCTGATATTGATGGGCAGTGTAAGTAGCTGATTTTGATGGGCCAGTGTAAGTAGCTGCTAATGATTGGCCAGAGTAAGTTGCTTCTTGTGATGGGCCAGTGTAAGTAGCTGCTATTGATGGGCCAGTATAAGTAGCTTTTGGTGATGGCCAGTGTAAGAAGCTGCTATTGGTGGGCCAGTGTAAGTAGCTGCTAGAGAATGGGCCAGTGTAAGTTGCTAACAGTGATGGGCCAGTGTAAATAGCTGCTAGTGATGGGCAAGTGTAAGTAGCTGCTATTGAAGGGCCAGTGTAAGTACCTGCTGTTGATGGGCCAGCGTACATAGCGGCTAGAGAACGTGGCAGTGTAAGTAGCTACTAGTAATGGGCCAGTGTAAGTAGCTGCTAATGATGGGCCAGTGTAAGTAATTGCTAGTGATGGGCCAGTGTTAGTATCTGCCATTGATGGGCCAGTGTATGTAGCTACTATTGATGGGCCAGTGTAAGTAGCTACTATTGATGGCCCATTATAAGTAGCAGCTAATGATTGGCCAGTGTATGTAACAGATATTGATAGACCTGTGTAAGTAGCTGCTATTGTTGGGCCAGTGTAAGTAGCTGCTAATGATGGGCCAGTGGAAGTAATTGCTAGTGATGGGCCAGTGTAAGTAGCTGCTAATGATGGGCCAGTGTAAGTAATTGCTAGTGATGGGCCAGTGTTAGTAGCTGCTATTGATGGGCCAGTGTAAGACTGATATAGATTGGCCTGTGTAATTAGCTGATATTGATCGGCAGAGCAAGTAGCTGATTTTGATGGGGCAGTGCAAGTAGCTGCTATTGATTTGCCAGTGTAAGTAGCTGCTATTGATGGGCCAACGTAAGTAGCTGCTATTGATGGGCCAGTGTAAGTAGCTACTATTGATGGGCCAGTGTAAGTAGATACTATTGATGGCCCATTATAAGTAGCAGATAATGATGGGCCAGTGTAAGTAGAAGATATTAATAGACCAGTGTAAGTAGCTGCTATTGATGGGCCAGTGTATGTAGCTACTATTGATGGGCCTGTGTAAGTAGCTACTATTGATGGCCCAGTGGAAGTAATTGCTAATGATGGGCCAGTGGAAGTGATTGCTAGTATTGGGCCAGTGTAAGTAGCTGCTATTGATGGGCCAGTGTAAGTAGCTGATATTGATGGGCCAGTGTAAGTAAGTGCTATTGATGGGCCAGTGTAAGTTGCTTCTAGTGGTGGGCCAGTGTTAACAGCTGCTAGTGATGGGCCAGTTTTAGTAGCTGCTATTGATGGGCCAGTGAAAGTCATTGCTATTGATGGGCCAGTGTAAGTAGCTGCTACTGATGGGCCAGTGTAAGTAGCTGCTATTGATTGGCCAGTGTAAGTAGCTGCTATTGATGGGCCAATGTAAGTAGCTGCTAGTGAGGGGCCAGTGTAAGTCATTGCTATTGATGGGCCAGTGTAAGTAGCTGATATTGATGGGCCAGTGTAAGTAAGTGCTATTGATTGGCCAGTGTAAATAGCTACTACTGATTGGACAGAGTAAGTAGCTGCTACTGATGGGCAAGTGTAAGTAGTTGCTAGTAATGGACCAGTGTAAGGGGCTGATATTGATGGGCCAGTGTAAATTGCTAATAGTGATGGGCCAGTGTAAATAGCTGCTAGTGATGGGCTTGTGTAAGTATCTGCTATTGATGGGCAAGTATAAGTAGCTGCTATTGAAGGGCCAGTGTAAGTACCTGCTGTTGATGGGCCAGCGTACGTAGCGGCTAGAGAACGTGCCAGTGTAAGTAGCTACTAGTAATGGTTCAGTATAAATAGCTTTAGTGAAAGGCCAGTGTCAGTAGCTGCTCTTCATAGGCCAGTGTAAGTAGCTGCTATTGATTGGCCAGTGTAAGTAGCTGCTATTGATGGGCCACTGTAAGTAGCTGCTAAAGAATGGGCCAGTGTAAGTAGCTACTAGTGATGGGCCAGTGTAAGTTGCTTCTAGTGATAGGCCAGTATTAACAGCAACTAGTGATGGGCCAGTGTTAGTAGCTGCTATTGATTGGCTAGTGTAATTAGCTGACATTGATGGGCAGTGTAAGTAGCTGATTTTGATGGGCCAGTGTAAGTAGCTGCTAATGATTGGCCAGAGTAAGTTGCTTCTTGTGATGGGCCAGTGTAAGTAGCTGCTATTGATGGGCCAGTATAAGTAGCTTTTGGTGATGGCCAGTGTAAGAAGCTGCTATTGGTGGGCCAGTGTAAGTAGCTGCTAGAGAATGGGCCAGTGTAAGTTGCTAATAGTGATGGGCCAGTGTAAATAGCTGCTAGTGATGGGCAAGTGTAAGTAGCTGCTATTGAAGGGCCATTGTAAGCACCTGCTGTTGATGGGCCAGCGTACATAGCGGCTAGAGAACGTGCCAGTGTAAGTAGCTACTAGTAATGGGCCAGTGAAAGTAGCTGCTAATGATGGGCCAGTGTAAGTAGTTGCTAGTGATGGGCCAGTGTTAGTAGCTGCCATTGATGGGCCAGTGTATGTAGCTACTATTGATGGGCCAGTTTTAGTAGCTACTATTGATGGCCCATTATAAGTAGCAGGTAATGATTGGCCAGTGTATGTAACAGATATTGATAGACCTGTGTAAGTAGCTGCTATTGTTGGGCCAGTGTAAGTAGCTGCTAATGATGGGCCAGTGGAAGTAATTGCTAGTGATGGGCCAGTGTAAGTAGCTGCTAATGATGGGCCAGTGTAAGTAATTGCTAGTGATGGGCCAGTGTTAGTAGCTGCTATTGATGGGCCAGTGTAAGAAACTGCTATAGATTGGCCAACGTAAGTAGCTGCTATTGATGGGCCAGTGTAAGTAGCTACTATTGATGGGCCAGTGTAAGTAGATACTATTGATGGCCCATTATAAGTAGCAGATAAGGATGGGCCAGTGTAAGTAGAAGATATTGATAGACCAGTGTAAGTAGCTGCTATTGATGGGCCAGTGTATGTAGCTACTATTGATGGGCCAGTGTAAGTAGCTACTATTGATGGCCCATTATAAGTAGCAGCTAATTATGGGCCAGTGTATGTAGCAGATATTGATAGACCAGTGTAAGTAGCTGCTATTGATGGGCCAGTGTAAGTAGCTGCTAATGATGGGCCAGTGGAAGTAATTGCTAATGATGGGCCAGTGGAAGTGATTGCTAGTATTGGGCCAGTGTAAGTAGCTGCTATTGATGGGCCAGTGTAAGTAGCTGATATTGATGGGCAAGTGTAAGTAAGTGCTATTGATGGGCCAGTGTAAGTTGCTTCTAGTGGTGGGCCAGTGTTAACAGCTGCTAGTGATGGGCCAGTTTTAGTAAATGCTATTGATGGGCCAGTGCAAGTCATTGCTATTGATGGGCCAGTGTAAGTAGCTGCTACTGATGGGCCAGTGTAAGTAGCTGCTATTGATTGGCCAGTGTAAGTAGCTGCTATTGATGGGCCAATGTAAGTAGCTGCTAGTGAGGGGGCAGTGTAAGTCATTGCTATTGATGGGCCAGTGTAAGTAGCTGATATTGATGGGCCAGTGTAAGTAAGTGCTATTGATTGGCCAGTGTAAATAGCTACTACTGATTGGACAGAGTAAGTAGCTGCTACTGATGGGCAAGTGTAAGTAGTTGCTAGTAATGGACCAGTGTAAGTGGCTGATATTGATGGGCCAGTGTAAATTGCTAATAGTGATGGGCCAGTGTAAATAGCTACTATTGATGGCCCAATATAAGTAGTAGATAATGATGGGCCAGAGTAAGTAGCTGATATTGATGAGCCAGCGTAAGTAGCTGATATCGATGGGCCAGTGTAAGTAGCTGCTAATGATAGGCCAGTGTAAGTAGCTGCTATGGATGGGCCAGTGTAAGTTGCTGTTAGTGATGTGCCAGTATAAGTAGCTACTATTGATGACCCAGTGTAAGTAGCAGCTATTGATGGGCCAGTGTAAGTAGCCACTATTGATGGCCCAGTGTTAGTAGCAGCTATTGATGGGCCAGTGTAAGTCATTGCTATTGATGGGCCAGTGTAAGTAGATGCTACTGATGGGCCAGTGTAAGTAGCTGCTATTGATGGGCCAGTGTAAGTAGCTGCTATTGATGGGCCAATGTAAGTAGCAGCTAGTAAGGGGCCAGTGTAAGTACTTGAAATTGATGGGCCAGTGTAAGTAGCTGCTACTGATGGGCCAGTGTAAGTAGCTGCTAGTGTTGGGCCAGTATAATTAGATGATATTGATGGGCCAGTGTAAGTAGCTGCTATTGATGAGCCAGTGTATATAGCTGCTAGAGAATGGGCCAATGTAAGTAGCTACTAGTGATGGGCCAGTGTAAATAGCTGCTAGAGATAGGCCAGTGTCAGTAGCTGCTACTGATGGCATAATGTAAGTAGCTGCTACTGATGGGCCACTGTAAGTAGCTGCTAGAGAATGGGTGAGTGTAAGTAGCTGCTAGTGATGGGCCAGTGTAAGTAGCTGCTATTGAAGGGCCAGTGTAAGTTGCTTCTTGTGATGGGCCAGTGTAAGTAGCTGCTATTGATGGGCCAGTATAAGTAGCTGTTAGTGATGGCCAGTGTAAGAAGCTGCTATTGATGGGCCAGTGTAAGTAGCTGCTAGAGAATGGGCCAGTGTAGGCTCCTAATAGTGATGGGCCAGTGTAAATAGTTGCTAGTGATGGGCAAGTGTAAGTAGCTGCTATTGAAGGGCAAGTGTAAGTACCTGCTGTTGATGGGCCAGCGTACGTAGCGGCTAGAGAACGTGCCAGTGTAAGTAGCTGGTAGTAATGGGCCAGTGTAAGTAGCTGCTAATGATGGGCCAGTGTAAGTAATTGCTAGTGATGGGCCAGTGTTAGTAGCTGCTATTGATGGGACAGTGTAAGAAGCTGCTATAGATTGGCCAGTGTAAGTAGCTGCTAGTGAGGGGCCAGGGTAGGTACATGAAATTGATGGGCCAGTGTAAGTAGCTGCTACTGATGGGCCAGTGTAAGTAGCTGCTAGTGTTGGGCCAGTATAATTAGATGCTATTGATGGGCCAGTGTAAGTAGCTGCTATTGATGGGCAAGTGTAAGTAGCTGCTATTGAAGGGCCAGTGTAAGTACCTGCTGTTGATGGACCAGTGTACGTAACGGCTAAAGAACGTGCCAGGGTAAGTAGCTACTAGTAATGGGCCAGTGTAAGTAGCTGCTAATGATGGGCCAGTGTAAGTAATTGCTAGTGATGAGCCAGTGTTAGTAGCTGCTATTGATGGGACATTGTAAGAAGCTGCAATAGATTGGCCAGTGTAAGTAGCTGCTAGTGAGGGGCCAGTGTAAGTACATACAATTGATGGGCCAGTGTAAGTAGCTGCTACTGATGGGCCAGTGTAAGTAGCTGCTAGTGTTGGGCCAGTATAATTAGATGCTATTGATGGGCCAGTGTAAGTAGCTGCTATTGATGGGCCAGTGTAAGTAGCTGCTATGGATGGGCCAGCGTAAGTTGCTGTTAGGGATGGGCCAGTATAAGCAGCTACAATTGATGGCCCAGTGTAAGTAGAAGCTATTGATGGGCCAGTGTAAGTAGCCGCTATTGATGGCCCAGTGTAAGTAGCTGCTAGTGAGGGGCCAGTGTAAGTCATTGCTGTTGATGGGCCAGTGTAAGTAGCTGATATTGATGGGCCAGTGTAAGTAAGTGCTATTGATTGGCCAGTGTAAGTAGCTACTACTGATTGGCCAGTGTAAGTAGCTGCTAGTGAGGGGCCAGTGTAAGTAGATGCTAGTAATGGACCAGTGTAAGTGGCTGATATTGATGGGCCAGTGTAAGTTGCTAATAGTGATGGGCCAGTGTAAATAGCTGCTAGTGATGGGCTTGTGTAAGTATCTGCTATTGATGGGCAAGTATAAGTAGCTGCTATTGAAGGGCCAGTGTAAGTACCTGCTGTTGATGGGCCAGCGTACGTAGCGGCTAGAGAACGTGCCAGTGTAAGTAGCTACTAGTAATGGTTCACTATAAATAGCTTTAGTGAAAGGCCAGTGTCAGTAGCTGCTCTTCATAGGCCAGTGTAAGTAGCTGCTATTGATTGGCCAGTGTAAGTAGCTGCTATTGATGGGCCACTGTAAGTAGCTGCTAAAGAATGGGCCAGTGTAAGTAGCTACTAGTGATGGCCCAGTGTAAGTTGCTTCTAGTGATAGGCCAGTATTAACAGCAACTAGTGATGGGCCAGTGTTAGTAGCTGCTATTGATTGGCTAGTGTAATTAGCTGATATTGATGGGCAGTGTAAGTAGCTGATTTTGATGGGCCAGTGGTAAGTAGCTGCTAATGATTGGCCAGAGTAAGTTGCTTCTTGTGATGGGCCAGTGTAAGTAGCTGCTATTGATGGGCCAGTATAAGTAGCTTTTGGTGATGGCCAGTGTAAGAAGCTGCTATTGGTGGGCCAGTGTAAGTAGCTGCTAGAGAATGGGCCAGTGTAAGTTGCTAACAGTGATGGGCCAGTGTAAATAGCTGCTAGTGATGGGCAAGTGTAAGTAGCTGCTATTGAAGGGCCAGTGTAAGTACCTGCTGTTGATGGGCCAGCGTACATAGCGGCTAGAGAACGTGGCAGTGTAAGTAGCTACTAGTAATGGGCCAGTGTAAGTAGCTGCTAATGATGGGCCAGTGTAAGTAATTGCTAGTGATGGGCCAGTGTTAGTATCTGCCATTGATGGGCCAGTGTATGTAGCTACTATTGATGGGCCAGTGTAAGTAGCTACTATTGATGGCCCATTATAAGTAGCAGCTAATGATTGGCCAGTGTATGTAACAGATATTGATAGACCTGTGTAAGTAGCTGCTATTGTTGGGCCAGTGTAAGTAGCTGCTAATGATGGGCCAGTGGAAGTAATTGCTAGTGATGGGCCAGTGTAAGTAGCTGCTAATGATGGGCCAGTGTAAGTAATTGCTAGTGATGGGCCAGTGTTAGTAGCTGCTATTGATGGGCCAGTGTAAGACTGATATAGATTGGCCTGTGTAATTAGCTGATATTGATCGGCAGAGCAAGTAGCTGATTTTGATGGGGCAGTGCAAGTAGCTGCTATTGATTTGCCAGTGTAAGTAGCTGCTATTGATGGGCCAACGTAAGTAGCTGCTATTGATGGGCCAGTGTAAGTAGCTACTATTGATGGGCCAGTGTAAGTAGATACTATTGATGGCCCATTATAAGTAGCAGATAATGATGGGCCAGTGTAAGTAGAAGATATTAATAGACCAGTGTAAGTAGCTGCTATTGATGGGCCAGTGTATGTAGCTACTATTGATGGGCCTGTGTAAGTAGCTACTATTGATGGCCCAGTGGAAGTAATTGCTAATGATGGGCCAGTGGAAGTGATTGCTAGTATTGGGCCAGTGTAAGTAGCTGCTATTGATGGGCCAGTGTAAGTAGCTGATATTGATGGGCCAGTGTAAGTAAGTGCTATTGATGGGCCAGTGTAAGTTGCTTCTAGTGGTGGGCCAGTGTTAACAGCTGCTAGTGATGGGCCAGTTTTAGTAGCTGCTATTGATGGGCCAGTGAAAGTCATTGCTATTGATGGGCCAGTGTAAGTAGCTGCTACTGATGGGCCAGTGTAAGTAGCTGCTATTGATTGGCCAGTGTAAGTAGCTGCTATTGATGGGCCAATGTAAGTAGCTGCTAGTGAGGGGCCAGTGTAAGTCATTGCTATTGATGGGCCAGTGTAAGTAGCTGATATTGATGGGCCAGTGTAAGTAAGTGCTATTGATTGGCCAGTGTAAATAGCTACTACTGATTGGACAGAGTAAGTAGCTGCTACTGATGGGCAAGTGTAAGTAGTTGCTAGTAATGGACCAGTGTAAGGGGCTGATATTGATGGGCCAGTGTAAATTGCTAATAGTGATGGGCCAGTGTAAATAGCTGCTAGTGATGGGCTTGTGTAAGTATCTGCTATTGATGGGCAAGTATAAGTAGCTGCTATTGAAGGGCCAGTGTAAGTACCTGCTGTTGATGGGCCAGCGTACGTAGCGGCTAGAGAACGTGCCAGTGTAAGTAGCTACTAGTAATGGTTCAGTATAAATAGCTTTAGTGAAAGGCCAGTGTCAGTAGCTGCTCTTCATAGGCCAGTGTAAGTAGCTGCTATTGATTGGCCAGTGTAAGTAGCTGCTATTGATGGGCCACTGTAAGTAGCTGCTAAAGAATGGGCCAGTGTAAGTAGCTACTAGTGATGGGCCAGTGTAAGTTGCTTCTAGTGATAGGCCAGTATTAACAGCAACTAGTGATGGGCCAGTGTTAGTAGCTGCTATTGATTGGCTAGTGTAATTAGCTGACATTGATGGGCAGTGTAAGTAGCTGATTTTGATGGGCCAGTGTAAGTAGCTGCTAATGATTGGCCAGAGTAAGTTGCTTCTTGTGATGGGCCAGTGTAAGTAGCTGCTATTGATGGGCCAGTATAAGTAGCTTTTGGTGATGGCCAGTGTAAGAAGCTGCTATTGGTGGGCCAGTGTAAGTAGCTGCTAGAGAATGGGCCAGTGTAAGTTGCTAATAGTGATGGGCCAGTGTAAATAGCTGCTAGTGATGGGCAAGTGTAAGTAGCTGCTATTGAAGGGCCATTGTAAGCACCTGCTGTTGATGGGCCAGCGTACATAGCGGCTAGAGAACGTGCCAGTGTAAGTAGCTACTAGTAATGGGCCAGTGAAAGTAGCTGCTAATGATGGGCCAGTGTAAGTAATTGCTAGTGATGGGCCAGTGTTAGTAGCTGCCATTGATGGGCCAGTGTATGTAGCTACTATTGATGGGCCAGTTTTAGTAGCTACTATTGATGGCCCATTATAAGTAGCAGGTAATGATTGGCCAGTGTATGTAACAGATATTGATAGACCTGTGTAAGTAGCTGCTATTGTTGGGCCAGTGTAAGTAGCTGCTAATGATGGGCCAGTGGAAGTAATTGCTAGTGATGGGCCAGTGTAAGTAGCTGCTAATGATGGGCCAGTGTAAGTAATTGCTAGTGATGGGCCAGTGTTAGTAGCTGCTATTGATGGGCCAGTGTAAGAAACTGCTATAGATTGGCCAACGTAAGTAGCTGCTATTGATGGGCCAGTGTAAGTAGCTACTATTGATGGGCCAGTGTAAGTAGATACTATTGATGGCCCATTATAAGTAGCAGATAAGGATGGGCCAGTGTAAGTAGAAGATATTGATAGACCAGTGTAAGTAGCTGCTATTGATGGGCCAGTGTATGTAGCTACTATTGATGGGGCCAGTGTAAGTAGCTACTATTGATGGCCCATTATAAGTAGCAGCTAATTATGGGCCAGTGTATGTAGCAGATATTGATAGACCAGTGTAAGTAGCTGCTATTGATGGGCCAGTGTAAGTAGCTGCTAATGATGGGCCAGTGGAAGTAATTGCTAATGATGGGCCAGTGGAAGTGATTGCTAGTATTGGGCCAGTTGTAAGTAGCTGCTATTGATGGGCCAGTGTAAGTAGCTGATATTGATGGGCAAGTGTAAGTAAGTGCTATTGATGGGCCAGTGTAAGTTGCTTCTAGTGGTGGGCCAGTGTTAACAGCTGCTAGTGATGGGCCAGTTTTAGTAAATGCTATTGATGGGCCAGTGCAAGTCATTGCTATTGATGGGCCAGTGTAAGTAGCTGCTACTGATGGGCCAGTGTAAGTAGCTGCTATTGATTGGCCAGTGTAAGTAGCTGCTATTGATGGGCCAATGTAAGTAGCTGCTAGTGAGGGGGCAGTGTAAGTCATTGCTATTGATGGGCCAGTGTAAGTAGCTGATATTGATGGGCCAGTGTAAGTAAGTGCTATTGATTGGCCAGTGTAAATAGCTACTACTGATTGGACAGAGTAAGTAGCTGCTACTGATGGGCAAGTGTAAGTAGTTGCTAGTAATGGACCAGTGTAAGTGGCTGATATTGATGGGCCAGTGTAAATTGCTAATAGTGATGGGCCAGTGTAAATAGCTGCTAGTGATGGGCTTGTGTAAGTATCTGCTATTGATGGGCAAGTATAAGTAGCTGCTATTGAAGGGCCAGTGTAAGTACCTGCTGTTGACGGGCCAGCGTACGTAGCGGCTAGAGAACGTGCCAATGTAAGTAGCTACTAGTAATGGTTCAGTATAAATAGCTTTAGTGAAAGGCCAGTGTCAGTAGCTGCTCTTCATAGGCCAGTGTAAGTAGCTGCTATTGATTGGCCAGTGTAAGTAGCTGCTATTGATGGGCCACTGTAAGTAGCTGCTAGAGAATGGGCCAGTGTAAGTAGCTACTAGTGATGGGCCAGTGTAAGTTGCTTCTAGTGATAGGCCAGTATTAACAGCAACTAGTGATGGGCCAGTGTTAGTAGCTGCAATAGATGGGACAGTGTAAGAAGCTGCTATTGATTGGCTAGTGTAATTAGCTGATATTGATGGGCAGTGTAAGTAACTGATTTTGATGGGCCAGTGTAAGTAGCTGCTAATGATGGGCCAGAGTAAGTTGCTTCTTGTGATGGGCCAGTGTAAGTAGCTGCTATTGATGGGCCAGTATACAGTGGGGGAAAAAAGTATTTAGTCAGCCACCAATTGTGCAAGTTCTCCCACTTAAAAAGATGAGAGAGGCCTGTAATTTTCATCATAGGTAAACGTCAACTATGACAGACAAATTGAGATTTTCTTTCCTGAAAATCACATAGTAGGATTTTTAATGAATTTATTTGCAAATTATGGTGGAAAATAAGTATTTGGTCAATAACAAACAAGCAAGATTTCTGGCTCTCACAGACCTGTAACTTCTTCTTTAAGAGGCTCCTCTGTCCTCCACTCATTACCTGTATTAATGGCACCTGTTTGAACTTGTTATCAGTATAAAAGACACCTGTCCATAACCTCATACAGTCACACTCCAAACTCCACTATGGCCAAGACCAAAGAGCTGTAAAAGGACATGAGAAACAAAATTGAAGACCTGCACCAGGCTGGGAAGACTGAATCTGCAATAGGTAAGCAGCTTGGTTTGAAAAAAAATCAACTGTGGGAGCAATTATTAGGAAATGGAAGACATACAAGACCACTGATAATCTCCCTCGATCTGGGGCTCCACGCAAGATCTCACCCCGTGGGGTCAAAATGATCACAAGAACGGTGAGCAAAAATCCCAGAACCACACGGGGGGACCTAGTGAATGACCTGCAGAGAGCTGGGACCAACGTAACAAAGCCTACCATCAGTAACACACTACGCCGCCAGGGACTCAAATCCTGCAGTGCCAGACGTGTCCCCCTGCTTAAGCCAGTACATGTCCAGGCCCGTCTGAAGTTTGCTAGAGTGCATTTGGATGATCCAGAAGGGGATTGGGAGAATGTCATATGGTCAGATGAAACCAAAATAGAACTTTTTGGTAAAAACTCAACTCGTCGTGTTTGGAGGACAAAGAATGCTGAGTTGCATCCAAAGAACACCATACCTACTGTGAAGCATGGGGGTGGAAACATCATGCTTTGGGGCTGTTTTTCTGCAAAGGGACCAGGACGACTGATCCGTGTAAAGGAAAGAATGAATGGGGCCATGTATCGTGAGATTTTGAGTGAAAACCTCCTTCCATCAGCAAGGGCATTGAAGATGAAACGTGGCTGGGTCTTTCAGCATGACAATGATCCCAAACACACCGCCCGGGCAACAAAGGAGTGGCTTCGTAAGAAGCATTTCAAGGTCCTGGAGTGGCCTAGCCAGTCTCCAGATCTCAACCCCATAGAAAATATTTGGAGGGAGTTGAAAGTCTGTGTTGCCCAGTGACAGCCCCAAAACATCCCTGCTCTAGAGGAGATCTGCATGGAGGAATGGGCCAAAATACCAGCAACAGTGTGTGAAAACCTTGTGAAGACTTACAGAAAACGTTTGACCTGTGTCATTGCCAACAAAGGGTATATAAAAAAGTACTGAGAAACTTTTGTTATTGACCAAATACTTATTTTCCACCATAATTTGCAAATAAATTCATTAAAAATCCTACAATGTGATTTTCTGGAAAAATTTTCCTCAATTTGTCTGTCATAGTTGACGTGTACCTATGATGAAAATTATAGGCCTCTCTCATCTTTTTAAGTGGGAGAACATAGACAATTGGTGGCTGACTAAATACTTTTTTCCCCCACTGTAAGTAGCTGTTGGTGATGGCCAGTGTAAGAAGCTGCTATTGGTGGGCCAGTGTAAGTAGCTGCTAGAAAATGGGCCAGTGTAAGTTGCTAATAGTTATGGGCCAGAGTAAATAGCTGCTAGTGATGGGCAAGTGTAAGTAGCTGCTATTGAAGGGCCAGTGTAAGTACCTGCTGTTGATGGGCCAGCGTACATAGCGGCTAGAGAACGTGCCAGTGTAAGTAGCTACTAGTAATGGGCCAGTGAAAGTAGCTGCTAATGATGGGCCAGTGTAAGTAATTGCTAGTGATGGGCCAGTGTTAGTAGCTGCTATTGATGGGCCAGTGTATGTAGCTACTATTGATGGGCCAGTGTAAGTAGCTACTATTGATGGCCCATTATAAGTAGCAGCTAATGATTGGCCAGTGTATGTAGCAGATATTGATAGACCTGTGTAAGTAGCTGCTATTGATGGGCCAGTGTAAGTAGCTGCTAATGATGGGCCAGTGGAAGTAATTGCTAGTGATGGGCCAGTGTAAGTAGCTGCTAATGATGGGCCAGTGTAAGTAATTGCTAGTGATGGGCCAGTGTTAGTAGCTGCTATTGATGGGCCAGTGTAAGAAACTGCTATAGATTGGCCAGTGTAATTAGCTGATATTGATCGGCAGAGTAAGTAGCTGATTTTGATGGGGCAGTGTAAGTAGCTGCTATTGATTTGCCAGTGTAAGTAGCTGCTATTGATGGGCCAACGTAAGTAGCTGCTAGTGATGGGCCAGTGTAAGTAGCTGCTATTGATGGGCCAGTGTAAGTAGCTACTATTGATGGGCCAGTGTAAGTAGATACTATTGATGGCCCATTATAAGTAGCAGCTAATGATGGGCCAGTGTAAGTAGATATATTGATAGACCAGTGTAAGTAGCTGCTATTGATGGGCCAGTGTAAGTAGCTGCTAATGATGGGCCAGTGGAAGTAATTGCTAATGATGGGCCAGTGGAAGTGATTGCTAGTATTGGGCCAGTGTAAGTAGCTGCTATTGATGGGCCAGTGTAAGTAGCTGATATTGATGGGCCAGTGTAAGTAAGTGCTATTGATGGGCCAGTGTAAGTTGCTTCTAGTGGTGGGCCAGTGTTAACAGCTGCTAGTGATGGGCCAGTTTTAGAGCTGCTATTGATGGGCCAGTGAAAGTCATTGCTATGGATGGGCCCAGTGTAAGTAAAGTTGATACCTGAGTGGGCCAGGTGTAAGTAGCTGCTATTGATTGGCCAGTGTAAGTAGCTGCTATTGAAATGGGACAAATGTAAGTAGCTGCTAGTGATGGGCCAGTGTTAAGTAAGCCTGCTATTGTGGCAGTGTAAAGTAGCTACTAGTGAATGGGCCAGTTTGTAAGTAGATACTATTGATGGCCCTTATAAGTTCGCAGCTAAGATGGGCAAGTGTAATTAGATATATTGAGGGCCCTTGGAAGTAATTGCTAATGATGGGCCGCGGAATAGTAGAATGCAGTGTAAGTAGCATGGCTCTGAGTTTATGTATGTGGGCCAGTGTAAGTAGCTGATATTGATGGGCCAGTGTAAGTAAGTGCTATTGATTGGCCAGTGTAAGTAGCTACAAATGATTGGCCAGTGTAAGTAGTGCTAGTGAGGGGCCAGTGTAAGTAGATGCTAGTAATGGACCAGTGTAAGTGGCTGATAATTGAGGGGCCCCAGTGTAAGTTGCTAATAGTGAGGGCCAGTGTAAATAGCTGCTAGTGATGGGCTGTGTAAGTATCTGCTATTGATGGGCAAGTATAAGTAGTGCTATTGAAGGGCCAGTGTAATTTACCTGCTGTTGATGGGCCAGCGTACGTAGCGGCTAGAGAACGTGCCATTTGTAAGTAGCTACTAGTAATGGTTCAGTAAAAATAGCTTTAGTGAAAAGGCAGTGGTCAGTAGCTGCTCTTATAGGCCATTTGTAAGTGGGCTGCTATTGATTGGCCAGTGTAAGTAGCTGCTATTGATGGGCCACTGTAAGTAGTGCAAAAGAATGGGCCAGTGTAAGTAGCTACTAGTGATGGGCCAGTGTAAGTTGCTTATAGTGATAGGCCAGTATTAACAGCAACTAGTGATGGGGCCAGTGTTAGGTAGCTGCTATTGATTGGCTAGTGTAATTAGCTGATATTGATGGGCAGTTGTAAGTAGCTGATTTTGATGGGCCAGTGTAAGTAGCTGCTAATGATTGGCCAGAGTAAGTTGCTTCTTGTGATGGGCCAGTGTAAGTAGCTGCTATTGATGGGCCAGTATAAGTAGCTTTTGGTGATGGCCAGTGTAAGAAGCTGCTATTGGTGGGCCAGTGTAAGTAGCTGCTAGAGAATGGGCCAGTGTAAGTTGCTAACAGTGATGGGCCAGTGTAAATAGCTGCTAGTGATGGGCAAGTGTAAGTAGCTGCTATTGAAGGGCCATGTAAGTACCTGCTGTTGATGGGCCAGCGTACATAGCGGCTAGAGAACGTGGCAGTGTAAGTAGCTACTAGTAATGGGCCAGTGTAAGTAGCTGCTAATGATGGGCCAGTGTAAGTAATTGCTAGTGATGGGCCAGTGTTAGTAGCTGCCATTGATGGGCCAGTGTATGTAGCTACTATTGATGGGCCAGTTTTAGTAGCTACTATTGATGGCCCATTATAAGTAGCAGTAATGATTGGCCAGTGTATGTAACAGATATTGATAGACCTGTGTAAGTAGCTGCTATTGTTGGGCCAGTGTAAGTAGCTGCTAATGATGGGCCATGTGGAAGTAATTGCTAGTGATGGGCCAGTGTAAGTAGCTGCTAATGATGGGCCAATGTAAGTAATTGCTAGTGATGGGCCAGTGTTAGTAGCTGCTATTGATCGGCCAGTGTAAGAAACTGCTATAGATTGGCCAACGTAAGTAGCTGCTATTGATGGGCCAGTGTAAGTAGCTACTATTGATGGGCCAGTGTAAGTAGATACTATTGATGGCCCTTATAAGTAGCAGATAAGGATGGGCCAGTGTAAGTAGAAGATATTGATAGACCAGTGTAAGTAGCTGCTATTGATAGGCCAGTGTATGTAGCTACTATGATGGGCCAGTGTAAAGAGCAAATTATGATGGCCATTATAAGTAGCAAGCTAATTATGTGCCATTGAAAGAAGCTGCTATTGAGTGGCCATGAAAGAAGCTGCTATTGCTTGGCCAGTGTAATAGCTGATATTGATGGGCAGTGTAACGTAGCTGCTATTGTGGGCCGTGGTAGGTGCTTGCTAATGATGGGCCCGTGGAAGTAATTGCTAGTGACTGGCCAGTGTAAGTAGCTTCCTAATGATGGGCCATGTAAGGAATTGCTATTGATGGGCCAGTGTTTATTAGCTTGCTATTGGTGGGCCAGTGTAAGAAACTGCTATAGATTGGCATTGTAATTAGCTGATTTGATCGGCAGAGTAGTTAGCTGATTTTTGATGGGGCATTGTAAGTAGCTGCTATTGATTTGCTGTGTAAGTAGCTGCTATTGATGGGCCAACGTAAGTAGCTGCTATGATGGGCAGTGGTAAGTTATCTGCTAATTGACGGGCCATTGGTAAGTAGCTACTATTGATGGGCCAGTTTTCAGTAGCTACTATTGATGGGCCCATATAAGTAGCAGCTAATGATGGGCCAGTGTAAGTAGCAGATATTGATAGACCAGTGTAAGTAGCTGCTATTGATGGGCCAGTGTATGTAGCTACTATTGATGGGCCAGTGGAAGTAATTGCTAATGATGGGCCAGTGGAAGTAATTGCTAGTATTGGGCCAGTGTAAGTAGCTGCTATTGATGGGCCAGTGTATAGTAAGTGCTATTGATGGGCCAGTGTAAATAGCTGCTACTGATTGGCCAGTGTAAGTAGCTGCTATTGACGGGCCAGTGTAAGTAGCTGCTATTGATGGGCCAATGTAAGTAGATGCTAGTGAGTGACCAGTGTAAGTACATGATATTGATGGGCCAGAGTAAGTAGCTGCTACTGATGGGCAAGTGTAAGTAGTTGCTAGTAATGGACCAGTGTGAGTGGCTGATATTGATGGGCCAGTATAAGTAGCTGCTATTGATGGGCCAGTGTAAGTACCTGCTGTTGATGGGCCAGCGTACGTAGCGGCTAGAGAACGTGCCAGTGTAAGTAGCTACTAGTAATGGGCCAGTATAAATAGCTTTAGTGAAAGGCCAGTGTCAGTAGCTGCTCTTCATAGGCCAGTGTAAGTAGCTGCTATTGATTGGCCAGTGTAAGAAGCTGCTATTGATGGGCCACTGTAAGTAGCTGCTAGAGAATGAGCCAGTGTAAGTAGCTACTAGTGATGGGCCAGTGTAAGTTGCTTCTAGTGATAGGCCAGTATTAACAGCAACTAGTGATGGGCCAGTGTTAGTAGCTGCTATAGATGGGACAGTGTAAGAAGCTGCTATTGATTGGCTAGTTGTAATTAGCTGATATTGATGGGCAGTGTAAGTAGCTGATTTTGATGGGCCAGAGTAAGTTGCTTCTTGTGATGGCCAGTTGTAAGTAGCTGCTATTGATGGGCCAGTATAAGTAGCTGTTGGTGATGGCCAGTGTAAGAAGCTGCTATTGATTGGCTAGTGTAATTAGCTGATATTGATGGGCAGTGTAAGTAGCTGCTATTGATTGGCCACCGTTCTTCGTTCCTAGTGACGGTCCAGTGTAAGTAGCTACTAGTGATTGGCCAGTGTAAGTATGTGATAGTGATGGGCCAGTGTAGATTGCTGCTAGTTATTGGCCAGTGTAAGTAGCTGCTAGTGATGGGCCAGTGTTAGTAGCTGCTATTGATGGGACAGTGTAAGAAGCTGCTATAGATAGGCCAGTGTAATTAGCTGATATTGATGGGCAGTGTAAGTAGCAAATTTTGATGGGGCAGTGTAAGTAGCTGCTATTGATTTGCCAGTGTAAGTAGCTGATATTGATGGGCCAGAGTAAGTAGCTGCTACTGATGGGCAAGTGTAAGTAGTTGCTAGTAATGGACCAGTGTCAGTGGCTGATATTGACGGGCCAGTATAAGTAGCTGACATTGAAGGGCCAGTGTAAGTACCTGCTGTTGATGGGCCAGCGTACGTAGCGGCTAGAGAACGTGCCAGTGTAAGTAGCTACTAGTAATGGGCCAGTATAAATAGCTTTAGTGAAAGGCCAGTGTCAGTAGCTGCTCTTCATAGGCCAGTGTAAGTAGCTGCTATTGATTGGCCAGTGTAAGAAGCTGCTATTGATGGGCCACTGTAAGTAGCTGCTAGAGAATGAGCCAGTGTAAGTAGCTACTAGTGATGGGCCAGTGTAAATAGCTGCTAGGGATGGGCCAGTGTAAGTACCTACTATTGATTGGTTAGCATAAGTAGCTGTTAGAAAATGGGCCAGTGTAAGTAGCTACTAGTGATGGGCCAGTGTAAATAGCTGCTAGTGAAAGGCCAGTGTCAGTAGCTGCTTCTGATGGGCCACTGTAATTAGCTGCTAGAGAATGGGCCAGTGTAAGTAGATACTAGTGATGGGCCAGTGAAAGAAGCTGCTATTGATTGGCCAGTGTAATTAGCTGATATTGATGGGCAGTGTAAGTAGCTGCTATTGATGGGCCAGTGTAAGTAGCTGCTAATGATGGGCCAGTGGAAGTAATTGCTAGTGATGGGCCAGTGTAAGTAGCTGCTAATGATGGGCCAGTGTAAGTAATTGCTAGTGATGGGCCAGTGTTAGTAGCTGCTATTGGTGGGCCAGTGTAAGAAACTGCTATAGATTGGCCAGTGTAATTAGCTGATATTGATCGGCAGAGTAAGTAGCTGATTTTGATGGGGCAGTGTAAGTAGCTGCTATTGATTTGCCAGTGTAAGTAGCTGCTATTGATGGGCCAACGTAAGTAGCTGCTAGAGATGGGCCAGTGTAAGTAGCTGCTATTGACGGGCCAGTGTAAGTAGCTACTATTGATGGGCCAGTTTAAGTAGCACTATTGATGGCCCATTATAAGTAGCAGCTAATGATGGGCCAGTGTAAGTAGCAGATATTGATAGACCAGTGTAAGTAGCTGCTATTGATGGGCCAGTGTATGTAGCTACTATTGATGGGCCAGTGGAAGTAATTGCTAATGATGGGCCAGTGGAAGTAATTGCTAGTATTGGGCCAGTGTAAGTAGCTGCTATTGATGGGCCAGTGTAAGTAGCTGATATTGATGGGCCAGTGTAAGTAAGTGCTATTGATGGGCCAGTGTAAATAGCTGCTACTGATTGGCCAGTGTAAGTAGCTGCTATTGACGGGCCAGTGTAAGTAGCTGCTATTGATGGGCCAATGTAAGTAGATGCTAGTGAGTGACCAGTGTAAGTACATGATATTGTTGGGCCAGAGTAAGTAGCTGCTACTGATGGGCAAGTGTAAGTAGTTGCTAGTAATGGACCAGTGTCAGTGGCTGATATTGATGGGCCAGTATAAGTAGCTGCTATTGAAGGGCCAGTGTAAGTACCTGCTGTTGATGGGCCAGCGTACGTAGCGGCTAGAGAACGTGCCAGTGTAAGTAGCTACTAGTAATGGGCCAGTATAAATAGCTTTAGTGAAAGGCCAGTGTCAGTAGCTGCTCTTCATAGGCCAGTGTAAGTAGCTGCTATTGATTGGCCAGTGTAAGAAGCTGCTATTGATGGGCCACTGTAAGTAGCTGCTAGAGAATGAGCCAGTGTAAGTAGCTACTAGTGATGGGCCAGTGTAAGTTGCTTCTAGTGATAGGCCAGTATTAACAGCAACTAGTGATGGGCCAGTGTTAGTAGCTGCTATAGATGGGACAGTGTAAGAAGCTGCTATTGATGGGCCACTGTAAGTAGCTGCTAGAGAATGAGCCAGTGTAAGTAGCTACTAGTGATGGGCCAGTGTAAATAGCTGCTAGGGATGGGCCAGTGTAAGTACCTACTATTGATTGGTTAGCATAAGTAGCTGTTAGAAAATGGGCCAGTGTAAGTAGCTACTAGTGATGGGCCAGTGTAAATAGCTGCTAGTGAAAGGCCAGTGTCAGTAGCTGCTTCTGATGGGCCACTGTAATTAGCTGCTAGAGAATGGGCCAGTGTAAGTAGATACTAGTGATGGGCCAGTGTAAGTAGCTGCTATTGATGGGCCAGTGTAAGTTGCTTCTAGTGGTGGGCCAGTGTTAACAGCTGCTAGTGATGGGCCAGTTTTAGTAGCTGCTATTGATGGGCCAGTGAAAGAAGCTGCTATTGATTGGCCAGTGTAATTAGCTGATATTGATGGGCAGTGTAAGTAGCTGCTATTGATGGGCCAGTGTAAGTAGCTGCTAATGATGGGCCAGTGGAAGTAATTGCTAGTGATGGGCCAGTGTAAGTAGCTGCTAATGATGGGCCAGTGTAAGTAATTGCTAGTGATGGGCCAGTGTTAGTAGCTGCTATTGGTGGGCCAGTGTAAGAAACTGCTATAGATTGGCCAGTGTAATTAGCTGATATTGATCGGCAGAGTAAGTAGCTGATTTTGATGGGGCAGTGTAAGTAGCTGCTATTGATTTGCCAGTGTAAGTAGCTGCTATTGATGGGCCAACGTAAGTAGCTGCTAGTGATGGGCCAGTGTAAGTAGCTGCTATTGACGGGCCAGTGTAAGTAGCTACTATTGATGGGCCAGTTTAAGTAGCTACTATTGATGGCCCATTATAAGTAGCAGCTAATGATGGGCCAGTGTAAGTAGCAGATATTGATAGACCAGTGTAAGTAGCTGCTATTGATGGGCCAGTGTATGTAGCTACTATTGATGGGCCAGTGGAAGTAATTGCTAATGATGGGCCAGTGGAAGTAATTGCTAGTATTGGGCCAGTGTAAGTAGCTGCTATTGATGGGCCAGTGTAAGTAAGTGCTATTGATGGGCCAGTGTAAATAGCTGCTACTGATTGGCCAGTGTAAGTAGCTGCTATTGACGGGCCAGTGTAAGTAGCTGCTATTGATGGGCCAATGTAAGTAGATGCTAGTGAGTGACCAGTGTAAGTACATGATATTGATGGGCCAGAGTAAGTAGCTGCTACTGATGGGCAAGTGTAAGTAGTTGCTAGTAATGGACCAGTGTGAGTGGCTGATATTGATGGGCCAGTATAAGTAGCTGCTATTGAAGGGCCAGTGTAAGTACCTGCTGTTGATGGGCCAGCGTACGTAGCGGCTAGAGAACGTGCCAGTGTAAGTAGCTACTAGTAATGGGCCAGTATAAATAGCTTTAGTGAAAGGCCAGTGTCAGTAGCTGCTCTTCATAGGCCAGTGTAAGTAGCTGCTATTGATTGGCCAGTGTAAGAAGCTGCTATTGATGGGCCACTGTAAGTAGCTGCTAGAGAATGAGCCAGTGTAAGTAGCTACTAGTGATGGGCCAGTGTAAGTTGCTTCTAGTGATAGGCCAGTATTAACAGCAACTAGTGATGGGCCAGTGTTAGTAGCTGCTATAGATGGGACAGTGTAAGAAGCTGCTATTGATTGGCTAGTGTAATTAGCTGATATTGATGGGCAGTGTAAGTAGCTGATTTTGATGGGCCAGAGTAAGTTGCTTCTTGTGATGGGCCAGTGTAAGTAGCTGCTATTGATGGGCCAGTATAAGTAGCTGTTGGTGATGGCCAGTGTAAGAAGCTGCTATTGATTGGCTAGTGTAATTAGCTGATATTGATGGGCAGTGTAAGTAGCTGCTATTGATTGGCCACCGTTCTTCGTTCCTAGTGACGGTCCAGTGTAAGTAGCTACTAGTGATTGGCCAGTGTAAGTATGTGATAGTGATGGGCCAGTGTAGATTGCTGCTAGTTATTGGCCAGTGTAAGTAGCTGCTAGTGATGGGCCAGTGTTAGTAGCTGCTATTGATGGGACAGTGTAAGAAGCTGCTATAGATAGGCCAGTGTAATTAGCTGATATTGATGGGCAGTGTAAGTAGCAAATTTTGATGGGGCAGTGTAAGTAGCTGCTATTGATTTGCCAGTGTAAGTAGCTGATATTGATGGGCCAGCATAAGTAGCTGCTAGTGATGGGCCAGTGTAAGTAGCTGCTATTGATGGGCCAGTGTAAGTAGCTAATATTGATGGGCCAGTGTAAGTAACTACTATTGATGGCCCATTATAAGTAGAAGCTAATGATGGGCCAGTGTAAGTAGCAGATATTGAAGGGCCAGTGTAAGTAGCTGCTACTGACGGGCCAGTGTAAGTAGTAGCTAGTAATGGACTAGTGTATGTTGCTGCTATTAATCAGCCAGTGTAAGTAGGTGCTAGTGATGGGCCAGTGTATGTAGCTGCTATTGATGGGCCAGCATAAGTAGCTGCAAGAGAATGGGCCAGTGTAAGTAGCTACTAGTGAAGGTACAAATAGCTGCTAGTGATGGGCCAGTGTCGTAGCTGCTGGAGAATGGGCTACTGTAAGTAGCTACAAGTGATGGGCCAGTGTAAATAGCTGCTAGGGATGGGCCAGTGTAAGTACCTACTATTGATTGGTTAGCATAAGTAGCTGTTAGAAAATGGGCCAGTGTAAGTAGCTACTAGTGATGGGCCAGTGTAAATAGCTGCTAGTGAAAGGCCAGTGTCAGTAGCTGCTTCTGATGGGCCACTGTAATTAGCTGCTAGAGAATGGGCCAGTGTAAGTAGCTGCTATTGATGGGCCAGTGTAAGTTGCTTCTAGTGGTGGGCCAGTGTTAACAGCTGCTAGTGATGGGCCAGTTTTAGTAGCTGCTATTGATGGGCCAGTGAAAGAAGCTGCTATTGATTGGCCAGTGTAATTAGCTGATATTGATGGGCAGTGTAAGTAGCTGCTATTGATGGGCCAGTGTAAGTAGCTGCTATTGATGGGCCAGTGTAAGTACCTGCTATTGATGTGCCAGTGTAAGTAGCGGCTACTGATGTGCCAGTGTAAGGAGCTGCTAGTGATGGGCCTGTATAAGCAGATGCTATTGATTCGCCAGTGTAAGTATCTGCTATTGATTTGCCAGTGTAAGTATCTCCTAGAGAATGGGCCAGTGTAAGTAGCTACTAGTGATGTGCCAGTGTAAGTACCTGCTATTGATTGGACAGCGTAAGTAGCTGCTAGATAATGGGCCATTGTAAGTAGCTACTAGTGATGGGCCAGTGTAAATTGTTGCTAGTGATGTGCCAGTGTAAGTATCTGCTATTGATGGAGAAATGTAAGTAGCTGATGTTGATGGGCCAGTGTCAATAGCTGCTATTGATGGGCCAGAGTAAGTAGTTGCTATTGATGGCCCAGTGTAAGTAGCTAATATTGATGGGCCAATGTATGTAGCTGCTAGTGATGTGCCAGTGTAAGTAGCTGATATTGATGGGCCAGTGTAAGTAGGTGCTAGTGATGGGCCAGTGTATGTAGCTGCTATTGATGGGCCAGCATAAGTAGCTGCAAGAGAATGGGCCAGTGTAAGTAGCTACTAGTGAAGGTACAAATAGCTGCTATTGATGGGCCAGCATAGGTAGCTGTTAGAGAATGGGCCAGTGTAAGTAGCTACTAGTATTTGGCCAGTGTAAATAGCTGCTAGTGAAAGGCCAATGTAAGTAGCTGCTGCTGATGGGCCACTGTAAGTAGCTGCTAGAGAATCGGCCAGTGTAAGTAGCTACTAGTGATGGGCAAGTGTAAGAAGCTGCTATTGATGGGCCAGTGTAAGTTGCTTCTAGTGATGGGCCAGTGTTAACAACTGCTAGTTATGGGACAGTGTTAGTAGCTGCTATTGATGGGCCAGTGTAAGAAGCTGCTATTGATGGGCAGTGTAAGTAGCTGCTATTGATGGGCCAGTGAAAGTACGTGCTATTGATGGGCCATGTGTAAGTAGCGGCTACTAATGGGCCAGTGTAAGGAGCTGCTAGTGATGGGCCTGTATAAGCAGATGCTATTGATTTGCCAGTGTAAGAATTTGCTATTGATTGGCCAGTGTAAGTAGCTGCTAGAGAATGGGCCAATGTAAGTAACTACTAGTGATGGGTCAGTGTAAGTAGCTGCTACTGATGTGCCACTGTAAGTCGTTTCTAGAGAATTGGCCAGTGTAAGTAGCTACTAGTAATGGCCACTTTAAATAGCTGCTCTTTTTTTGTGAGTGTAAGTAGCTGCTAGTGATGGGCTAGTGAAAGTAGATGCTATTGATGGGCCAGTGTAGGTTGCTTCTTGTGATGGGCCAGTGTAAGTAGCTGCTATTGATGGGCCACTGTACGTAGTTCCTAGTAATGGTCCAGTGTAAGTAGCTACTAGTGATGGGCCAGTTTAGGTAGCTGCTATTGATGGCCCAGTGTAAGTATCTGCTATTGATGGGCCAGTTTAAGTAGCTGCTATTGACAGACCAGTGTAAGTAGCTGCTACTGATGGGCCAGTGTAAGTAGCTGCTAGTGATGGGCCAGTATAAGTAGATGCTATTGATTGGCCAGTGTAAGTAGCTGCTATTGATGGGCCAGTGTAAGTAGCTGCTAGAGAATGGGCCAGTGTAAGTAGCTACTAGTGATGGGCCAGTGTAAATAGCTGCTAGTGATGGGCTTGTGTAAGTATCTGCTATTGATGGGCAAGTGTAAGTAGCTGCTATTGATGGGCCAGTGTAAGTTGCTTCTAGTGATGCGCTAGTGTTAACAGCTGCTAGTGATGTGCCAGTTTCAGTAGCTGCTATTGATGGGACAGTGTAAAAAGCTGCTATTGATTGGCCAGCATAATAAGCTGATATTGATGGGCAGTGTAAGTGGCTGATTTTGATGGGGCAGTGTAAGTAGCTGCTATTGATTGGCCACTGTACTTAGTTCCTAGTGATGGTCCAGTGTAAGTAGCTACTAGTGATGGGCCAGTGTAAGGAACTGATAGTGATGGGCCAGTGTAAATTGCTGCTAGTTATGGGCCAGTGTAAGTAGATGCTAGTGATGGGCCAGGGTTAATAGCTGCTATTGATGGGCCAGTGTTAGAAGCTCCTATTGATGTGCCACTGTAAGTAGCTGCTAGTGATGGGGCAGTGTAACTAGCTGCTATTGATTTGCCAGTGTAAGTAGCTGCTATTGATGGCCCAGCGTAAGTAGCTGCTAGTGATGGGCCAGTGTAAGTATCTGCTATTGATGTGCCATTGGAAGTAGCTGCTAGTGATGGTCCAGTGTAAGTAGCTGCTTTTGATGTGCCATTGGAAGTTGCTTCTATTGATGGGCCAGTGTTAACAGCTGCTAGTGATGGGCCAGTGTTAGTAGCTGCTATTGATGGGCCAGTAAAAGAAGCTGCTATTGATTGGCCAGTGTAATTAGCTGATATTGATGGGCAGTGTAAGTAGCTGCTATTGATGGGCCAGTGTAGGTAGCTGCTACTGATGGTCAGTGTAAGTAGCTGATTTTGATGGGCTAGTGTAACTAGGTGATAGTGATGGGCCAGTGTAAGCAGCTGCTAGTGAGGGGCCAGTATAAGTAGCTGGTATTGATGGGCCACTGTAAGTAGGTGCTACTGACGGGCCAGTATAAGTAGTTGCTAGTAATGGACCAGTGTCAGAAGCTGATATTGATGGGCTAGTGTAACTAGGTTTTAGTGATGGGCCAGTGTAAGTAGCTGATATTGATGGGCCAGTGTAAGTAGCTAATAGTGAAGGGCCAGTACAAAAAGCTGCTAGTGATAGGCCAGTGTCGTAGCTGCTATTGATGTGCCAGTGTAAGTAACTGCTAGTGTTGGGCCAGTATAAGTAGATGCAATTGATTGGCCAGTGAAGTAGCTGCTATTGATGGGCCAGTGTTTGTAGCTGCTAGAGAATGGGCCACTGTAAGTAGCTACTGGTGATGAGCCAGTGTAAATAGCTAATAGAGATGGGCCAGTGTAAGTACCTGCTATTGATGGAACTGCGTAGGTAGCTGCTATTGATGGGAAAGTGTAAGTACCTGCTATTGATGGTTCAGTGTAAGTAGCGGCTACTGATCGGCCAGTGTAAGTAGCTGTACGTGTTGGGCCAGTGTAAGTAGCTACTAGTGATGGGCCAATGTAAATAGCTGCTAGAGATGGGCCAGTGTAAGTACCTGCTATTGATGGGCCAGCATAGGTAGCTGCTAAAGAATTGGCCAGTGTAGGTAGATACTAGTGATGGGCCAGTGTAAATAGCTGCTACTGATGGGCCAATGTAAGTAGCTGCTAGAGAATGGGCCAGTGTAAGTAGCTACTAGTGATGGGCCAGTGTAAGTAGCTGCTATTGATGGGCCAGTGTAAGTAGCTGCTATTGAAAGGCCAGTGTATGTATCTGCTGTTGATGGGTTAGCGTAAGTAGCTGTTAGAGAATGTGCCAGTGTAAGTAGCTAATAGCAATGGCCCAGTATAAATAGCTTTAGTGAAAGGCCAGTGTCAGTAGCTGCTATTCATAGGCCAGTGTTAGTAGCTGCTATTGATTGGCCAGTGTAAGTAGATGCTACTGATGGGCCACTGTAAGTAGCTGCTAGAGAATGGGCCAGTGTAAGTAGCTGCTAGTGATGGGCCAGTGTTAGTAGCTGCTATTGATGGGACAGTGGAAGAAGCTGCTATTGATTGGCCAGCGTAATTAGCTGAAATTGATGTGCAGTGTAAGTAATGTCTAGTGATGGGCCAGTGTAAGTAGCTGCTATTGATGGGCCAGTGTAAGTTGCTGTTATTGATGGGCGAGTGTAAGTAAGTGCTATTGATGGGCCAGTGTAAATAGCTGCTACTGATGGGCCAGTGTAAGTAGCTGCTATTGATGTGCCAGTGTATGTAGCTGCTATTCATGGGCCAATGTAAGTAGCTGCGAGTGAGGGGCCAGTGTACAGTGGGGGAAAAAAAGTATTTAGTCAGCCACCAATTGTGCAAGTTCTCCCACTTAAAAAGATGAGAGAGGCCTGTAATTTTCATCATAGGTACACTTCAACTATGACAGACAAATTGAGAAAAAAAAATCCAGAAAATCACATTGTAGGATTTTGAATGAATTTATTTACAAATTATGGTGGAAAATAAGTATTTGGTCAATAACAAACAAGCAAGATTTCTGGCTCTCACAGACCTGTAACTTCTTCTTTAAGAGGCTCCTCTGTCCTCCACTCGTTACCTGTATTAATGGCACCTGTTTGAACTTGTTATCAGTATAAAAGACACCTGTCCACAACCTCAAACAGTCACATTCCAAACTCCACTATGGCCAAGACCAAAGAGCTGTCAAAGGACACCAGAAACAAAATTGTAGACCTGCACCAGGCTGGGAAGACTGAATCTGCAATAGGTAAGCAGCTTGGTTTGAAGAAATCAACTGTGGGAGCAGTTATTAGGAAATGGAAGACATACTGATAATCTCCCTCGATCTGGGGCTCCATGCAAGATCTCACCCTTTGGGGTCAAAATGATCACAAGGAACGGTGAGCAAAAATCCCAGAACCACACAGGGGGACCTGGTGAATGACCTGCAGAGAGCTGGGACCAAAGTAACAAAGCCTACCATCAGTAACACACTACGCCGCCAGGGACTCAAATCCTGCAGTGCCAGACGTGTCCCCCAGCTTAAGCCAGTACATGTCCAGGCCCGTCTGAAGTTTGATAGAGTGCATTTGGATGATCCAGAAGAGGATTGGGAGAATGTCATATGGTCAGATGAAACCAAAATATAACTTTTTGGTAAAAACTCAACTCATCGTGTTTGGAGGACAAAGAATGCTGAGTTGCATCCAAAGAACACCATACCTACTGTGAAGCATGGGGGTGGAAACATCATGCTTTGGGGCTGTTTTTCTGCAAAGGGACCAGGACGACTGATCCGTGTAAAGGAAAGAATGAATGGGGCCATGTATCGTGAGATTTTGAGTGAAAACCTCTTTCCATCAGCAAGGGCATTGAAGATGAAACGTGGCTGGGTCTTTCAGCATGACAATGATCCCAAACACACCGCCCGGGCAACGAAGGAGAGGCTTCGTAAGAAGCATTTCAAGGTCCTGGAGTGGCCTAGCCAGTCTCCAGATCTTAACCCCATAGAAAATATTTGGAGGGAGTTGAAAGTCTGTGTTGCCCAGCGACAGCCCCAAAACATCACTGCTCTAGAGGAGATCTGCATGGAGGAATGGGCCAAAATACCAGCAACAGTGTGTGAAAACCTTGTGAAGACTTACAGAAAACGTTTGACCTGTGTCATTGCCAACAAAGGGTATATAACAAAGTATTGAGAAACTTTTGTTATTGACCAAATACTTATTTTCCACCATAATTTGCAAATAAATTCATTAAAAATCCTACAATGTGATTTTCTGGATTTTTTTTCTCATTTTGTCTGTCATAGTTGACGTGTACCTATGATGAAAATTACAGCCCTCTCTCATCTTTTTAAGTGGGAGAACTTGCACAATTGGATGCTGACTAAATACTTTTTTTCCCCACTGTATAATAGAATTATTGTAAAATTAACTGTGTCCATAAGGTGTAGATAGTAAGTATAGACCGGAAGTAGAGACCTGGGCATTGTTGTTCACTAATTAACTCCAAGTAGGGAAAGGATGGCGGGGTTGAAAAGTAATAAAGGGGAGTTTATATATAACAAACATGGGGGATTTGAAGTGATGCAGACATTTACATTGATAGAAGATACAATCTATCTGCAATATTAAGCTGATCAATCCCCCACCCAAAAAAAAAAAAAAAGTAGCTACTAGTGATGGGCCAGTGTAAATAGCTGCTAGTGATGGGCTTGTGTAAGTATCTGCTCTTGATGGGCAAGTGTAAGTAGCTGCTCTTGAAGGGCCAGTGTAAGTACATGCTACTGATGGGCCAGTGTAAGTACCTGCTATTGATGGGCCAGTGTAAGTAGCTTCTAGTGATGGGCCAGTGTAAGTAGCTGCTATTGATGGGCCAGTGTAAGTAGCTGCTATTGATGGGCCAGTGTAAGTAGCTGCTATTGATGGGCCAGTGTAATTAGCTTATATTAAAGGGCCAGTGTAAGTAGCTGCTATTAATGGGACACTGTAAGTAGATGCTATTGATGGGCCAGTGTAAGTAGCTGCTATTGATGGGCCAGTGTAAGTTGCTGCTATTGATGGGCCAGTGTAAGTAGTTGCTTTTGATTGGCTAGTGTAAGTAGCTGCTATTGATGGGCCAGTGTAGATAGCTGCTAGTGATGGGCCAGTGTAAACAGCTACTAATGATGGGCCATTGTTAGTAGCTGACATTGATGGGCCAGTGTAAGTAGCTGCTATTGATTGGCCAGTGTAAGTAGCTTCTAGTGATGGGCCAGTGTAAATAGCTGCTATTGATGGGCCAGTGTAAGTAGCTACTATTGATGGGCCAGTGTATGTAGCAGCTAGTGATGGGCCAGTGTAATTGGCGTTTTACTCAATGCTGAACATAAAGTAACAAGAGAGGAACAAACACTTCAGGGAGATGGATGGAGAGGAGTGTGTGTGTGTGTCTGTGTGTGTGTGTGTGTGTCTGTGAGTGTGTGAAAATAACAATATAAATGTATGCACTCACTAATTGTAAGTCGCTCTGTATAAGAGCGTCTGCTAAATGATTAAAATGGCAATGTAAAAAAAATGTTTGTGGGGGTGGGTCTTTGTGTGTGTGTAGGTAGGGTGTGTGTGTGTGTGTGTGTGTGTGCGGGGGGGGGGGGGGGGGGGGGGGGGGGGGGGGGGGTGTGTTTGTGTGGGTAGGGATGTGTGTGTCCTTGGTGCAAGAGAGAGAGTTGTTGGTCGTAATACCACTGGGTGGGGTTGTAGTAGGGATCAATTCCCAGAAACCAACTCAATCTGCACCTTCTCTGTTGATCCAACATATCTACACACACACGCACGGATGCACAAACACACACACACGGAAAGGAAAGACAACCTTCTAACTTCAATAGGACAACCTATCTCAAACAGACTTCATAATTTTCCAATTAATCCAACCGTCTTTCAAAGACAAAGCAGCTCACAGGTTCAAGGGGATGACATTTATTTTGTAAAGTATTTCACACAGGAGCTATCGAAGTGGCTCTCTCTTCCTCCCATACAGCCTTGAACTAAAGGCTACAGACTCCAAAGCTTTTAAGTGACTGTACATTCCTGTGAAATAAATGTTATTACCAAGGTCTCTTTCCTGTTTTGCAGGGATCAAAAGTAATACAAAAGTCAATGCCATCATAAAATGCCACAGATACACACATACAGTACACCAAGGACTCTGTGTGTGTGTGTGTGTGTGTGCGCGCGTGCGAGCGTTCGAGTGTGTGTGTGTAAGTGTGTGTGTGATTGTGTGTGTGATTGTGTGAGTGTGTGAGTGTGTGTCCAAGGGGCAATATAAAATAATAACGTGTGAAATGCTTGAAAATATATGTGACATCAACAGAGAGGTATATTTTCTGGGTAATTGAAATATTGTCTGGCTTTCATCAAGCTGCCCACTCAAGAAAAAGCTTCAAACTGTAACCAGTGACTGCAACCTGGTTCAGGTTATCAGTCAACCTACCAGGGTATTCATAAACAGCAGAGGAATGAAATCATCCACATCTATTGATCACATCTTTACTAATGCTGCAGAAATTAGCTTTAAAGCAGTATCCTAATCCGTTGGATGTAGTGATCACAATACAGTAGCCATATCTCGAAAAACCGAAGTTCCAAAGGCTTCCAAAGATTAGCAAACTCCAAGAATAACTGATCAAATTATGAAAGACAAGCATTGTAATTTTGAATTCCGTAAAGTGAGTGTGGAAGAGGTGAAAAAATGATTGTTGTCTATCAACAATGACAAGCCACTGGGGTCTGACAACTTGGATGGAAAATTACTGAGGATAATAGCGGACGATATTACCACTCCTATTTGCCATATCTTCAATCTAAGCCTACTAGAAAGTGTGTGCCTCTGACCTGGGCGGAAGCAAAAGTAATTCCGCTACCTGAGAATAGTAAAGCCCCCTTTACTGGCTCAAATAGCCAACCAAATCAGTCTGTTGCCAACCCTTAGTAAACTTTTGGAAAAAATGGTGTTTGATCAGATACAATGCTATTTTACTGTAAACAAATTGACAACAGACTTTCAACAAGCTTATAAGGAAGGACATTCAACAAGAACGCCACTTACACAAATGACTGATGATTAGCTGAGAGAAATTGATGATAAAAAGATTGAGGGGGCTGTTTTGTTAGACTTCAGTGCAGCTTTTGACATTATCGATCATAGTCTGCTGATGGAAAAACTTATGTGATATGGCTTTACACCCCCTGCTATATTGTGGATAAAGAGTTACCTGTCTAACAGAACCCAGAGGGTGTTCTTTAATGGAAGCCTCTCCAACAAAATCCAGGTAGAATCAGGAATTCCCCAGGGCAGCTGTCTAGGCCCCTTACTTTTTTCAATCTTCACTAATGACATGCCACCTGCTTTGAGTAAAGCCAGTGTGTCTATGTATGTGGATGAATCAACACTATACACGTCAGCCACTACAGCGAATGAAATCACAGCAACACTTAACAAAGAGCTGCAGTTAGATTCAGAATGGGTGGCAAGAAATAAGTTAGTCCTAAATAATTCAAAAACTAAAAGCATTGTGTTTGGGAGAAATCACTCACTAAACCTCAACTAAATATTGTAATAAATCATGTGGAAATTGAGCAACTTGAGGTGACTAAACTGCTTGGAGTAACCCTGAATTGTAAACTGTCATGGTCAAAAGATGTTGATACAACTGTAGCTAAGGTGGGGAGAAGTCTTTCCATAATAAAGCGCTGCTCTGACTTCTTAACAACACTATCAACAAGGCAGGTCCTACATGCCCTAGTTTTGTTGCACCTGGACTACTGTTCAGTCGTGTGGTCAGGTGCCACAAAGAAGGACATCGGAAAATTACAATTGGCTCAGAACAGGGCAGCACGGCTGGCCCTTAAATGTACATGGAGAGCTAATATTAATATATGTACAGTGAGGGAAAAAAGTATTTGATCCCCTGCTGATTTTGTATGTTTTCCCACTGACAAAGAAATGATCAGTCTATAATTTTAATGGTAGGTTTATTTGAACAGTGAGAGACAGAATAACAACAAAAAAATCCAGAAAAATGCATGTCAAAAATGTTATAAATTGATTTGCATTTTAATGAGGGAAATAAGTATTTGACCCCCTCTCAATCAGAAAGATGTCTGGCTACCAGGTGTCTTTTATAAAGGTAACGAGCTGATATTAGGAGCACACTCTTAAAGGGAGTGTTCCTAATCTCAGCTTGTTACCTGTATAAAAGACACCTGTCCACAGAAGCAATCAATCAATCAGATTCCAAACTCTCCACCATGGCCAAGACCAAAGAGCTCTCCAAGGATGTCAGGGACAAGATTGTAGACCTACACAAGGCTGGAATGGGCTACAAGACCATCGCCAAGCAGCTTGGTGAGAAGGTGACAACAGTTGGTGACATTATTCGCAAATGGAAGAAACACAAAAGTACTGTCAATCTCCCTCGGTTTGGGGCTCCATGCAAGATCTCACCTTGTGGAGTTGCAATGATCATGAGAACGGTGAGGAATCAGCCCAGAACTACACGGGAGGATCTTGCCAATGATCTCAAGGCAGCTGGGACCATAGTCACCAAGAAAACAATTGGTAACACACTACGCCGTGAAGGACTGAAATCCTGCAGCGCCCGCAAGGTCCCCCTGCTCAAGAAAGCACAGATACAGGGCCGTCTGAAGTTTGCCAATGAACATCTGAATGATTCAGAGGAGAACTAGGTGAAAGTGTTGTGGTCAGATGAGACCAATATCGAGCTCTTTGGCGTCAACTCAACTCGCCGTGTTTGGAGGAGGAGGAATGCTGCCTATGACCCCAAGAACACCATCCCCACCGTCAAACATGGAGGTGGAAACATTATGCTTTGGGGGTGTTTTCTGCTAAGGGGACAGGACAACTTCACTGCATCAAAGGGACGGTGGACGGGGCCATGTACCGTCACATCTTGGGTGAGAACCTCCTTCCCTCAGCTAGGGCATTGAAAATGGGTCATGGATGGGTATTCCAGCATGACAATGACCCTAAACACACGGCCAAGGCAACAAAGGAGTGGCTCAAGAAGAAGCACATTAAGGTCCTGGAGTGGCCTAGCCAGTCTCCAGACCTTAATCCCATAGAAAATCTGTGGAGGGAGCTGAAGGTTCGAGTTGCCAAACGTCAGGCTCGAAACCTTAATGACTTGGAGAAGCTCTGCAAAGAGGAGTGGGACAAAATCCCTCCTGAGATGTGTGCAAACCTGCTGGCCAACTACAAGAAACGTCTGACCTCTCTGATTGCCAACAAGGGTTTTGCCACCAAGTACTAAGTCATGTTTTGCAGAAGGGTGAAATACTTATATCCCTCATTAAAATGCAAATCAATTTATAACATTTTTGACATGCGTTTTTCTTGATTTATTCTGTCTCTCACTGTTCAAATAAACCTACCATTAAAATTATAGACCGATCATTTCTTTGTCAGTGGGCAAACGTACAAAATCAGCAGGGGATCAAATACTTTTTTCCCTCACTGTATATCTGTCATGGCTCAACGTGGAGGAGAGTGTTGACAGGCTGAATGCACCGAGGTGTCTGTTTAAACTACTAGCACACAGCTCGAACACCCATGCATACCCCACAAGACATGCCAAAAAAGGTCTCTTCACAATCCACAAGTCAAGACCAGACTATGGGAGGCACACAGTACTTCATAGAGCCATGGCTCTATGTAACTGATGCAAGCAGTAGAATCAGATTTAAAAAACAGATATAAATACACCTTATGGAACAGCGGGGACTGTGAAGAGACACACACACAGGCACAGACACACATACACATGACAAGACGCACTCTACACACACGTACACATGGATTTTGTATTGCAGATATGTGTTAGTAAAGTAGTGGCCTGAGGGAACACACTTAATGTGTTGTGTAAAGTGTTATGAAATGTGATGTCATGTAATATTTAACATTTTATATAACTGCCTTAATATTGCTGCTGCCTTGGTACGAACTAATGGAGATCCATAATAAACCCCAGGAAGAGTAGCTGCTGCCTTGGCAGGAACTAATGGGGATCCATAATAAACCCCAGGAAGAGTAGCTGCTGCCTTTGCAGGAACTAATGGGGATCCATAATAAACCCCAGGAAGAGTAGCTGCTGCCTTGGCAGGAACTAATGGGGATCCATAATAAACCCCAGGAAGAGTAGCTGCTGCCTTGGCAGGAACTAATGGGGATCCATAATAAACCCCAGGAAGAGTAGCTGCTGCCTTGGCAGGAACTAATGGGGATCCATAATAAACCCCAGGAAGAGTAGCTGCTGCCTTGGCAGGAACTAATGGGGATCCTTAATAACTATAATTACAAAGACTAAGGTTAATGAAGATAGAGCACACACACTGGGGATCCTTGATAAATACAAATACAAATAATAACTTAGAGCTGATGCAACTCAATAGTGTTAAAGAGTAAAGCGCTGTCAGCAGGCAAAGACAGAGGACCAGAGGAGTATTCCACGTCCAGACAGACAACCAATAGAAAGTGTTGGTTTTTACTAGGTGGGAAAGTCATACAATCATGAGGTCACTCTCTGGGGAGGTCGCTGTGCGGCCAGATATCATATGTGGAAAGTGTTATTTTATTTTTTACAAAATATGAAAAAGATGTCTGGAGTCTGCCTCTTTTACCTGTCTATGTCCTTCAGATCAATGTGAATTAATTCATTAATTAATTATTGAATGAATTAAGAAAGAGTCACCCGGTGTTACCTTCCAGAAGCTATCAGATGTGCCTATTACCCTGTTCAACTATTCCAACACAATAGCATACTCTCACTGCAAGCTCTATTGTATCAGCTACGGACAGTATTGACGGAAGAATGAAAAAAAAATTATGCACTGACTAACTGTAAGTCGCTATGGATAAGAGCGTCTGCTAAATGACTAAAATGTCAAATGTAAATGTAAGAAGAAAAGAGAGAAGGTATTATGTGAGAGAGACAGAAAGAGACATTGAAGGAGAGAGTGCATGGAGGAGATAATAAGAGGTATGTGAGCAAGAAAGATAGAGAGAGACATACAGAGCTGGTGAGAGAGAGACAGAGAGAGAGACAGAGAGACACAGAGAGAGAGAGATGACGAGAGAAGAAGCAGAGAGACAGAGAGAGAGAGACATAGTAGATAGAGAGTAGAGGATAGAAGAGATAGATATGATAGAGAGAGAGAGACATAACAAGGGCTGTTGATATAGATATATAGAAGAGATAGAGTATAGAGAGAGAGAGAGAGAGAGATAGAGATAGATAGAAGAGAGAGAGAGAATAGAGAGAGAGGAAGTAGTAGAGAGAGAGACGAGAGAGCGGAGATAATATAGACATAGCATATCCTGGTGATAGAGAGAGATCTCTCTCTCTCTCTCTCCTCTCTCTCTCTCTCGCGCGCGTCCTCTCTGCTCGTTCGTCTCTCTCTTCTCTCTCCTCTCTAGATCAGGCTCAGAGATTACTCCCCCCGGCCCTTCAACCCATTCCCAGTCCACCCGGCCCCATTTATTCCCCCGTCGACTCCTCCTCTCCCCCCCCGTCCCCCCCCCCATCCCCCCATTCCCAAAATAGGGCCCTCAACATGAAAGTCACACATACGCCCAGGCCGTGAGCAGCAAACAGCCCAACACACCCCTCTTACAAACACTAAGCCCAGCCAATGGCATGTACCGATGCTCACGTCCTCTGCTCAATTACGGCCGAGGCCAAACCCACCACAACCAACACAGTTCGACACTTTATGGAACACAAAGCCTCACTATTTCATCCTGGAATATCCAAGGCCTGAGGTCATCTGCCTTTGGCCTAAAGAGCAGGAATCTGGACTTCACCAAAGAAATCGGAAATACAGACATTGTCATCCTACAAGAAACATGGTATAGAGGAGACGGACCCACTGGTTGCCCTCTAGGTTACAGAGAGCTGGTAGTCCCATCCACCAAACTACCAGGTGTGAAACAGGGAAGGGACTCAGGGGGTAATGCTAATTTGGTATAGAGCAGACCTAACTCACTCTATTAAATTAATCAAAACAGGAACATTTTACATTTGGTTAGAAATTCAAAAGGAAATTATCTCAACAGAGAAAAATGTCCTCCTGTGTGCTACCTATATCCCCCCACTAGAATCCCCATACTTTAATGAAGACAGCTTCTCCATCCTGGAGGGGGAAATCAATCATTTCCAGACCCAGGGACATTTACTAGTCTGTGGCGACCTAAATGCCAGAACTGGACAAGAACCTGACAACCCTCAGCACACAGGGGGACAAACACCTACCTGGAGGTGACAGCATTCCCTCCCCCATATGCCCCCCTAGGCACAACTACGACAACATAACCAACAAAACGGGTCACAACTCCCTGCAGCTCTGTCGCACACTGGGTATGTACATAGTCAATGGTAGGCTTCGAGGGGACTCCTATGGAAGGTACACCTATAGCTCATCTCTTGGCAGTAGTACTGAAGACTACTTTATCACTGACCTCAACCCAGAGTCTCTCAGAGCGTTCACAGTCAGCCCACTGACACCCCTATCAGACCACAGCAAAATCACAGTCTACTTGAACAGAGCAATACTCAATCATGAGGCATCAAAGCCAAAGGAACTAAATAATATTAAGAAATGCTATAGATGGAAGGAAAGTAGTGTTGAAACCTACCAAAAACAATTAGGCAACAACAAATTCAATCCATTCTAGACAACTTCCTGGACAAAACGTTCCACTGTAATAGTGAAGGTGTAAACTTGGCAGTAGAACACCTAAACAGTATATTTGATCTCTCAGCTTCCCTATCAAATCAAAAAATCTATAACAGAAAACCAAAGAAAAGTAACAAGAGTGATAAATGGTTTGATGAAGAATGCAAAACCTAAGAAAGAAATTGGAGAAACCTATCCAACCAAAACATAGAGACCCAGAAAACCTGAGCCTACGCCTTCACTATGGTGAATCACTAAAACAATACAGAAATTCACTACGGAAAAAGAAGACACAGCATGTCAGAAATTAGCTCAATGTAATTGAAGAATCCATAGACTCTAACCACTTCTGGGAAAATGGGAAAACACTAAACAAACAACAACACGAAGAGCTATCTATCCAAAACGGAGATGTATGGGTAAACCACTTCTCCAATCATTTTGGCCCTATAACAGAGAACAAACAGCAAAAAAATATACAAAAAAATATAAACATCTTAGAATCAACTATTAAAGACTACCAGAACCCACTGGATTCTCCAATTACATTGAATGAACTACATGACAAAATACAAACCCTCCAACACAAAAAGTCCTGTGGTGTTGATGGTATCCTCAATGAAATGATAAAATATACAGACCACAAATTTCAATTAGCTATACTTAAACTCTTTAACATCATCCTTAGCACTGGCATCTTCCCCAATATTTGGAACCAAGGACTGATCACCCCAATCCACAAAAGTGGAGACAAATTTGACCCCAATAACTACCGTGGGATATGTGTCAACAGCAACCTTGGGGAAATCCTCTGCATTATCATTAACAGCAAACTAGTTTCATTTCCTCAGTGAAAACAATGTACTGAGCAAATGTCAAATTGGCTTTTTAACCAAATTACCGTCACAATAGACCACGTATTCACCCTGCACAACCCTAATTGACAAACAAACAAACCAAAACAAAGGCCAAAGTCTTCTCATGCTTTGTGATTTCAAAAAGCTTTTGACTCAATTTGGCATGAGGGTCTGCTATACAAATTGATGGAAAGTGGGGTTGGGGAAAAACATATGACATTATAAAATCCATGTACACAACAAACAATGTGTGGTGGTTAAAATTGGGCAAAAAACACACACATTTCTTTCCACAGGGCCGTTGGGGTGAGACAGGGGATGCAGTTTTAAGTCCCCCCCTCTTCAACATATATATCAACGAATTGGCGAGGCAACTAGAAACATCTGCAGCACCCCGGCCTCACCCTACTAGAATCTGAAGTAAAATGTATTCTGTTTGCTGATGATCTGGTGCTTCTGTCACCAACCAAGGAGGGCCTACAGCAGCACCTAGATATTCTGCACAGATTCTGTCAGACCTGGGCCCTGTACAGTAAATCTCAGTAAGACAAAATAAATGGTGTTCCAAAAAAGGTCCAGTTGCCAGGTCCACAAATAAAAATTCCATCTAGACAACCGTTGCCCTAGAGCACACAAAAAACTATACATACCTCGGCCTAAACATCAGCACCACAGTAACTTCCACAAGCTGTGAACGATCTGAGAGACAATGGCAAGAAGAGGGCCTTCTATGCCATCAAAAGGAACATAAAATTTGACATACCAATTAGTATCTGGCCAAAAATACTTAAATCAGTTATAGAACCCATTTCCCTTTATGGTTGTGAGGTCTGGGGTCCGCTCACCAACCAAGAATTCACAAAATGGGACAAACAAACCAAATTGAGACTCTGCATGCAGAATTCGCAAAAACATCCTCTGTGTACACACGTAAAACACCAAATATGCATGCAGAGCAGAATTAGGCCAATACCCACTAATTATCAAAATCCAGAAAAAGAGCCGTTAAATTCTATAACCACTTAAAAGAACTGATTCCCAAACCTTCCATAACAAAGCCATCACCTACAGAGAGATGAACTTGGAGAAGAGTCCCCTAAGTAAGCTGGTCCTGGGCTCTGTTCACAAACACAAACAGACCCCACACAGCCCCAGGACAACAACAACAACAACACAATTAGACCCAACCAAATCATGAGAAAACAAAAAGAGAATTACTTGACACATTGGAAAGAACAAACAAAAAAACAGAGCAAACTAGAATGCTATTTGGCCCTAACCTAGAGAGTACACAGTGGCAGAATACCTGACCACTGTGACTGACCCAAACTTAAAGGAAAGCTTTGACTATGTACAGACTTAGGTGAGCATAGCCTTGCTATTGAGAAGGCCGCCGTAGGCAGACCTGGCTCTCAAGAGAAGACAGGCTATGGTCACACTGCCCACAAAATGAGGTGGAAACTGAGCTGGCACTTCCTAACCTCCTGCCAAATGTATGACCATATTAGAGACACATAATTTCCCCTCAGATTACAAGCGATCTACAAAGAATTCGAAAACAAACCCAATTTTGATAAACTCCCTTATCTACTGGGTGAAAAATCACAGTGTGCCATCACAGCTGCAAGATTTGTGACCTGTTGCCACAAGAAAAGGGCAACCAGTGAAGATCAAAACACCATTGTAAATACAACCCATATTTTATGTTTATTTTATTTTCCCACTTGTACTTTAAACTCTTTGCACATTGTTTACAACACGTGTAGATATACATAATATGACATTTGAAATGTCTTTATTCTTTTGAAACTTCTGATGTAATGTTTTACTGTTAATATTTATTGTTTATTTCCCTTTGTTTACTATCTACTTTCACTGTGCTTTGGCATGTAACATATTCCTTTTTCCCATTGGGCCAATAAAGAAAGCCCCTTAAATTGAAATTGAAATTGATGGAGAGAGAGAGAGGAGGGAGAGAGGGAGAGAGAGTCGAGAAGAGACATACACAACATCCAGAGCTGGTGAAGAGAGAGAGAGAGAGAGGAGAAGCGAGAGAGAGAGACCGACAGACGAGTCTGATGAGAAGAGAGAGACGAGAGAGATAGAGAAGATAGAGTAAAAGCGAGAGAGACATACAGAGCTGTGAAATAGAGTACAGACATACAGAACTACAGAGGCTGGTGAAAGGAGAGAGGAGAGACAGACAGACAGACATACCGTCTGGTGAAATGAGGAGAGCTAGAGAGAGACAGACACCATACATACTGGTTGACATAGAGCGATCGAGATAGGGAGACAGACACATACAACAATCTGGTGAAAGAGAGAGAGAGATAGAGAGAGATAGAGAGGACACACCCTTACAGAGCTGGGTTGATATAGAGTAGGAGAGAGTAGATTAGAAGAGGAGAGAGATAAGAGAGAGAGAGATAGCGAGACATACCGAGCTGGTGGAAAGAGAGAGAGAGAGAGAGACAGACTCATACTGAGCTGGTAAAAGAGAGAGAGACATACAGAGCTGGTGAAAGAGAGAGAGCGAGAGAGAGTACAGACCATACGAGCCTGTGAAGAGACCTTATCGAGAGAGAGAGAGACCGACCAACAGATCTGGTAAAAGATAGAGAGAGACAGACATACAGCTGTGAACTGAGCGAGCTGAGAGATAGGAGACAGACCATATAGAGCTTGAAAAAGAAGAGAGCAATAGAAGAGCCACGAGAGAGGTGCAAGAGAGCTTTTTGGTCTCCACATTGCCTGTAGCACCCATCCCAGGGGTCCGACAATACAGAACCATTAAACACACACACACACATACACATACACACATACACACACATTCACACACACACATACAAACACACAAATGCAACACAACCATTAAACCACTGAAACAGCGATCCATGACCCCATAACACTCATAAGGACTTTAGATAGCACAGTAAAAACACATCATCATCCCTCAGAGCCATTTCACCATCACTGTGGTTTAATGAAAGATAATAAAGCTTTTCCTCCAAAGGTCTGAGACAGGTTAGTAGATAGATAGAGAGAGAGAGAGAGAGAGAGAGAGAGAGAGAGAGAGAGAGAGAGAAGAGAGAGAGAGAGAGAGAGAGAGAGAGAGAGAGAGAGAGACCAGAAGAGAGAAGAGAGAGAGAGAGAGAGAGAGAGACAGAGAGACAGAGAGAGAGAGAATGTCATGGAAATTCTAATCAATAATGGGGAGAGACAAGGTCAATCACCAATCAGGATATTACTTTATCCTAAACTTATTAATAAGGGAGCAGGTCACAACACACACATGAATGGAGTGACTGCTCTGCAATAATGAGGCTGGTCGACCCAACACTCTTGAGCTCTGACGTACAAGAATACAAATATGTTTTATAGCACAACCCTCTTAGTCTACATGACAAACCGCAGATGTGTGGAATAGGTCAAAAGGTTAGGATTTGTATGAAATAAATGAATAATTCACAGCAGACAGTATCTGCTGTGAAGACTGTTCTTATTGCATGGAAACCAGAGTGTGGCCCCTAAGACAAGGTTCCTCTCATCATTATCCATACCAAAGCCATCTCATCCCTGGTACCTTCCAGTACACAAACACCAACTCATACTATGGAATACAAGCTGTAGGTTTTATCACCAAACCATTCATAAATCAATTGTCAGCTCCAGGACCCCTATCTCCTTGACCACATGCCTAGACTAGCTGCAGGGAGCTAGTATATAATTGTTAAGTATATAATTGTTAACTATTCATATTAGACAAAGCAGGTAAACATGTTACATGTTAATTTTTCTCTCACAAGAGCGAGAGACAGAGAGAAACAGAGACAGAGACAGAGACAGAGAGAGAGAGAGAGAGAGAGAGAGAGAGAGAGAGAGAGAGAGATGAGGTGTGAATGAAGGAGTCAGGCGCAGGAGGTAAAATACTGAAGTCCAGAGTTTATTCCGTTTACATAAATCAAACGCTCCAAGCGTCAAACGAAACTATTACAAGGGAAAACATCCACCTTGGCATAAACAAATGGAAGAGTAGCTCAACCGAGCTACACGCTCTCACAACAAACAATCACTCACAAAGACAAGGGGAACAGAGGGAACACTTATACACATACTAATTAGGGGAATGAGCACCAGGTGTGTGTGATTGACAAGACATGACAAGTGGAGTGATGAGAATGGGATCGGCAGTAGCTAGTACTCCGGTGACCACGAACGCCGAAGCCTGCCCGAACCAGGAGGGGAGCAGCCTCGGCGGAAGTCATGACAGAGAGAGAGAGAGAGAGAGAGAGAGAGAGAGAGAGAGAGAGAGAGAGAGAGAGAGAGAGAGAGAGAGAGAGAGAGAGAGAGAGAGAGAGAGAGAGAGAGAGAGAGAAAGAGAGGAATGAGGAAATGCTTGAGAATAGAGGAAGAGGAGAAGAAAGGGAGAGAAGGATGGATGGATGGATGGATCGATGAAGGCAGAGACGAGAAGTAAGCTAACAGGACAGCAAGTCATCATCCTCAGAGGGATCTCAGACAATATTTGAACGTATCCAGCCAATGTTTAACACAATGTTTACCACTGCTCACTGTTCCACTCCAATGTGATCTGGCCAGAGACACAAAACATGACTGACAGTTAAATACATAGTAACCAGGAGACACACACACACACATGCCATACACACATGCACGCAAACACGCACACACACAATTACACACACACACCCACACACTTCAGTACTCCGCTCCACGTCTTGTCTAAATTAAAACTCCAGTGCAATCAAGTGATGACTAATTACTGTGTTTCAGCAGAAAGCATGCAGTATGGTGTGTGTGTGTGTGTGTGTGTGTGTGTAGGTGTGTGTGTGTGTGTGTATGTGCCTCGCTGTCTTTCTGTCTGCGCACTCCTGAGGATTTTCATGGCTCCTAATAGTCGTCTGGGACTAAATTACTGTTTTAATTACACATGCTAATGTTTTCCCTGCTATTAAACATTTATGCATGGAGGCATCTAGAGATCCTCAGTGCTGACTCTCTATGGGTCCCTGAGGGGGGGGGGGGGGGGGGGGGTTGGACTTGCAGAGGAGGGTAGAAGAGGGAAAGTGCCACCGCTGCAGTTCGCATCTCGCTGCCCCTGCCGTGCCACACTGTATAATACTGCTTTAATGTTGTAGTCTGGCTCTTTGGCAGAAGATAACTACTGAGCTTTTACCCAGCAGGGGTAAGGGATAAGGGTAGAGACGGAGGAGAGAGAGAGAGAGAGATAATAAAATTTCAGAATGAGGGTACCTACTGCATTGTATAGGAATGTTCTCCAGTACAGTATATGTACCTGAAGACAGCGCCGTAGAAGATGGCTGCCGTTTTACAGCCCTCTAACCAATTGTACTATTATGTGTGTTTTTCCGCGTTATTTGTAATTTATTTTGTACATAATGTTTCTGTCATCGTCTCTTATAACCAAAAAGAGCTTCTGGATATCAGGACAGCGATTCCTCACCTCGTATTGGACGAAGATTTTTTCTTCAACGAGGCGGCCGCGAAGGATATCATACAGACACCCGACAAGGCCCAAATCCCCGTCATTCGCGTGAGGAAGAGACAGAGATATCGTGGACGTAGATCGGGGTGCCTTGTAAGGATCCGACGGCGAGCGAGTAAACTGCCTCTTCCATCAATCCTATTAGCCAACGTTCAATCATTTGAAAATAAATTGGATGACTTAAGATTACGGTTATCCTACCAACGGGACATTAAAAACTGTAATATCTTATGTTTCACCGAGTCGTGGCTGAACGACGACATGGATTTCATACAGCTAGCGGGCTATACGCTACATCGGCAGGATAGAACAGCTGACTCCGGTAAGACAAGGGGTGGCGGTCTGTGTATATTTGTAAACAACAGCTGGTGCACAAAATCAAATACTAAGGAAGTCTCGAGGTTTTGCTCGCCTGAGGTAGAGTATCTTATGATAAGCTGTAGACCACACTATTTACCAAGAGAGTTTTCATCTATATTTTTCATAGCTGTCTATTTACCACCACAAACCAATGCTGGCATTAAGATTGCACTGAATGAGTTGTACAAGGCCATAAATCAACAGGAAAATGCTCATCCAGATGCAGCGCTCCTAGTGGCCGGGGACTTTAATGCAGGGAAACTTAAATCCGTTCTACCTCATTTCTACCAGCATGTTAAATGTGCAACCAGAGGAAAAAAAAACTCTAGACCACCTTTACTCCACACACAGAGACGCATACAAAGCTCTCCCTCGCCCTCCATTTGGCAAATCTAACCATAACTCTATCCTCCTGATTCCTGCTTATAAGCAAAAACTAAAGCAGGAAGCACCAGTGACTCGGTTAATAAAAAAGTGGTCAGATGACGCAGATGCTAAGCTACAGGACTGTTTTGCTAGCACAGACTGGAACATGTTCCGGGATTCTTCAGACAGCATTGAGGAGTACACCACATCAGTCACTGGCTTCATCAATAAGTGCATCGATGATGTCATCCCCACAGTGACCGTACGTACATACCCCAACCAGAAGCCATGGATTACAGGAAACATCCGCACTGAGCTAAAGGGTAGAGCTGCCGCTTTCAAGGAACGGGACTCTAACCCGGACGCTTATAAGAAATCCCGCTATGACCTCCGACGAACCATCAAACAGGCAAAGAGGCAATACAGGACTAAGATTGAATCGTACTACACTGGCTCTGACGCTCGTCGGATGTGGCAGGGCTTGAAAACTATTACAGACTACAAAGGGAAGCACAGCTGCGAGCTGCCCAGTGACACAAGCCTACCAGACGAGTATCGTATATGAAGATTATGTCTTTGTTAAATGTTTTTCATGAAGAAATGGAATGTTGTTTATGTTAGTATCAAAAGGGAATGTTTTAGTGTAACGTCACATACAACAGACAGGAAGTGTGTTGTAGACAGGGGAGACTGGTGATTGGCCAGAAGAGGGAGCATCTTTTTGCATTGTTTATAAATAGGGGCTAGACTACAGAAAGGGCAGAACGGCCATGGCAATCTGGGAAGCCGTTCTCCGGACACCGCGGGTCTGTAACTTATGCTGTAACCTCGTGATTTTAATAAAAGCCTCTAACACGGTGCAGCTTGAACGGACTCTTTGTTGACAGCAATAATTGTCACCATTCACCCGATACGACACGAGCTAAACCACTTCTATGCTCGCTTCGAGGCAAGCAACACTGAAGCATGCATGAGAGCACCAGCTGTTCCGGATGACTATGTGATCACGCTCTCCGTAGCCGATGTGAGTAAGACTTTTAAGCAGGTCAACATTCACAAGGCCGCAGGGCCAGACGGATTACCAGGACGTGTACTCCAAGCATGTGCTGACCAACTGGCAAGTGTCTTCACTGACATTTTCAACATGTCCCTGACTGAGTCTGTAATACCAACATGTTTCAAGCAGACCACCATAGTCCCCGTGCCCAAGGACTCTAAGATAACCTGCCTAAATGACTACCGACCCGTAGCACTGACGTCTGTAGCCATGAAGTGCTTTGAAAGGCTGATCATGGCTCACATCAACAGCATTATCCCAGAAACACTAGACCCACTCCAATTTGCATACCGCCCCAACAGATCCACAGATGATGCAATCTCTATTGCACTCCACACTGCCCTTTCCCACCTGGACAAGAGGAACACCCACGTGAGAATGCTATTCATTGACTACAGCTCAGCATTCAACACCATAGTGCCCTCTAAGCTCATCACTAAGCTAAGGATCCTGGGACTAAACACCTCCCTCTGCAACTGGATCCTGGACTTCCTGACGGGCCGCCCCCAGGTGGTAAGGGTAGGTAACAACACATCTGCCACACTGATCCTCAACACGGGGGCCCCTCAGGGGTGCGTGCTCAGTCCCCTCCTGTACTCTCTGTTCACCCATGACTGCATGGCCAGGCACGACTCCAACACCATCATTAAGTTTGCCGACGACACAACAGTGGTAGGCCTGATCACCGACAACGATGAGACAGCCTATAGGGAGGAGGTCAGAGACCTGGCCGTGTGGTGCCAGGACAACAACCAAGTTCCTTGGTGTCCACATCACCAACGAACTATCATGGTCCAAACACACCAAGACAGTCATGAAGAGGGAACGACAAAGCCTATTCCCCCTCAGGAGACTGAAAAGATTTGGCATGGGTCCTCAGATCCTCAAAAAATTCTACAGCTGCACCATCGAGATTATCCTGACTGGTTGCATCACCGCCTGGTATGGCAACTGCTTGGCCTCCGACCGCAAGGCACTACAGAGGGTAGTGCGTACGGCCCAGTACATCACTGGGGCCAAGCTTCCTGCCATCCAGGACCTCTATACCAGGCGGTGTCAGAGGAAGGCCCTCAAAATTGTCAAAGACTCCAGCCACTCTAGTCATAGACTGTTCTCTCTGCTACCGCACGGCAAGCGGTACCGGAGTGCCAAGTCTAGGTCCAAAAGACTTCTCAACAGCTTCTACCCGCAAGCCATAAGACTCCTGAACAGCTAATCATGGCTACCCGGACTATTTGCACTGCCCCCCCACCCCATCCTTTTTACGCTGCTGCTACTCTGTTAATTATTTATGCATAGTCACTTTAACTCTACCCACATGTACATATTACCTCAACTACCTCAACTAGCCGGTGCCCCCGCACATTGACTCTGCAACATTACCCCCTGTATATATAGCCTCCCTACTGTAACTTTATTTTACTTCTGCTCTTTTTTTTCTCAACACTTTTTTTTTTCTCAACACTGTCCCCTATCTTCTACAGCTCACTGTTTCACTGTCCCCTATCCTATCTTCTACAGCTCACTGTTTCACTGTCCCCTATCTTCTACAGCTCACTGTTTCACTGTCCCCTATCTTCTACAGCTCACTGTTTCACTGTCCCCTATCCTCTACAGCTCACTGTTTCACTGTCCCCTATCCTCTACAGCTCACTGTTTCACTGTCCCCTATCTTCTACAGCTCACTGTTTAACTGTCCCCTATCCTCTACAGCTCACTGTTTCACTGTCCCCTATCTTCTACAGCTCACTGTTTCACTGTCCCCTATCTTCTACAGCTCACTGTTTCACTGTCCCCTATCTTCTACAGCTCACTGTTTCACTGTCCCCTATCTTCTACAGCTCACTGTTTCACTGTCCCCTATCTTCTACAGCTCACTGTTTCACTGTCCCCTATCTTCTACAGCTCACTGTTTCACTGTCCCCTATCTTCTACAGCTCACTGTTTCACTGTCCCCTATCTTCTACAGCTCACTGTTTAACTGTCCCCTATCCTCTACAGCTCACTGTTTCACTGTCCCCTATCTTCTACAGCTCACTGTTTCACTTTCCCCTATCTTCTACAGCTCACTGTTTCACTGTCCCCTATCTTCTACAGCTCACTGTTTCACTGTCCCCTATCTTCTACAGCTCACTGTTTCACTGTCCCCTATCTTCTACAGCTCACTGTTTCACTGTCCCCTATCTTCTACAGCTCACTGTTTCACTGTCCCCTATCCTCTACAGCTCACTGAAGAGGCATCATACCCTCAGTTACCCCCCAGATGAGGATAAGTGTTGTGTTTTACCCACAAATTAAGGTTTATTAGGGGAGGGTTAGCTGCTACTAGGGATAGGTTTAGGGTTAGGGTTGAGACTAGGGATAAGGTTTAGGGTTGAGACTAGGGGTAGGGTTAGGGTTAGGGTTGAGACTAGGGGTAGGCTAGGGTTAGGGTTGAGACTAGGGTAGGGTTAGGGTTAGGGTTGAGACTAGGGGTAGGGTTAGGGTTAGGGCTGAGACTAGGGGTAGGTTAGGGTTGAGACTAGGGGTTAGGGTTAGGGTTAGGGTTGAGAGGGTTTCTGTTTATGCTGGTATCAAACCTTGGATTGCACGGGCCTATTGCAACTTTCTGCCCTATTTCTATTTTGTACATCACCCCTGTCTGGAGAGGGTGAGAGAACATGAAAGGCCGAGAGCTCCAAGGGGTCACCCATGACAGTTCAACAACAGGAAGAAGACAATTGTTGATAAAGTGCTGGGGGTAAACCAGTTTAATTTTAAAACAAATGTTTTTTTATAAAATCATAATAAAAAACATGCAAACTGGATCAATAAATGAATAGATAAATAATTAAATAAGTAAGTACATAATGGGAAATCCCACCAAGGGATGAAGGGATTAAGTGCTTCAAAGATAAGTGCTATGTAAAAGTGCTTGATATAATAAAATTGAATAAAAAAAGATAAAACAGATTGAGCAAATAAATACATTCTTTTTTATTGAACTTCCTCCTTGTGTTGTTGGCCCCTCCGGCTCTCTTAATTAGGCCCTCACTACCTCCCACGGTCAATGCTTTATCCTACTCTTTACCATTCATAGCAAGTGGAGCCAAGGTCTTAAGTTTTGCTATCCACCTGGATTCAGCTGCTCTTCTCTGGCCTATGGTCCAGGAGGCATTCATATCCAGACCGATTTTGAAAGTGTTTTACCAGGTGTGGTTGTAATATGTTTTTTTCAATTGTGTAGAGGTGCTGTTTGAGGCGTGTCAAGACTGTGTGCCTGGTTCCTCCTTTATAAATGTTGTAGCATAATGTGCATGTTATGTTATAGACAATGTTGGTGCTCAGAATGGTCATGAGTTGTCGAATAGGACTGGAGGTTTGTGCATGTGGATTTTGAATGAGTGAGAGTTGTCTATAGTCCTGTTGTTCAATAGGTGGTTTAGGAGTGGGTTTGTTGGAACATTTTGCATAGACTAAGAGATCCCTTAGGTTGGGGATTCTGCGGAATGCTGATATAGATCTGAATTCCTGGAGTGGGGGAAATGTATGTTGTGTTTGGGTTAATGCGGCTTTGAGTCTAGAATGAAGGAGTCTGTTTATGTCTGAGAAGGTGCTGATGAGGGGTATAATCTGGGGTTCTGAATCTGTTGGGGGAATAGGAACAGGGGGTCTGGGAAAGGTCTGAGGGTGAAGGACAGGGATAGGATACGGGATCGGGAAAGGGTTAAGAATAGGTGTGGGCTGTTCACCCAGATCAGGAGTCCCTGGTCCAGAGTTCTGCAGGGAAAGTTATGGAGGTTAAGGTTAGGGTTAGGGTTAGGGTTAGGGTTAGGGTTAGGGTTAGGGTTAAGGTTAAGGTTAGGGTTAGGATTAAGGTTAGGGTTAGGGTTAAGGTTAGGGTTAAGGTTAGGGTTAAGATTAAATTTAAGGTTAGGGGGATCAGGAAATCTGTTCTGGGTAAGGCCTTCCAGTGTGTTGGGTTTGGAGGGATCAAGCACTCTGTTCTGGGTAAGGCCTTCCAGTGTGTTGGGTTTGGAGGGATCAAGCACTCTGTTCTGGGTAAGGCCTTCCAGTGTGTTGGGTTTGGAGGGATCAAGCACTCTGTTCTGGGTAAGGCCTTCCAGTGTGTTGGGTTTGGAGGGATCAAGCACTCTGTTCTGTGTGAGGCCTTCCAGTGTGTTGGGTTTGGAGGGATCAAGCACTCTGTTCTGGGTAAGGCCTGCCAGTGTGTTGGGTTTGGAGGGATCAAGCACTCTGTTCTGGGTAAGGCCTTCCAGTGTGTTGGGTTTGGAGGGATCAAGCACTCTGTTCTGGGTAAGGCCTTCCAGTGTGTTGGGTTTGGAGGGATCAAGCACTCTGTTCTGGGTAAGGCCTGCCAGTGTGTTGGGTTTGGAGGGATCAAGCACTCTGTTCTGGGTAAGGCCTTCCAGTGTGTTGGGTTTGGGGGGATCAAGCACTCTGTTCTGGGTAAGGCCTGCCAGTGTGTTGGGTTTGGAGGGATCAAGCACTCTGTTCTGGGTAAGGCCTTCCAGTGTGTTGGGTTTGGAGGGATCAAGCACTCTGTTCTGGGTAAGGCCTTCCAGTGTGTTGGGTTTGGGGGGATCAAGCACTCTGTTCTGGGTAAGGCCTGCCAGTGTGTTGGGTTTGGGGGGATCAAGCACTCTGTTCTGGGTAAGGCCTTCCAGTGTGTTGGGTTTGGAGGGATCAAGCACTCTGTTCTGGGTAAGGCCTTCCAGTGTGTTTGCCTTTATGTACCTCAATGACCGCTTTGAGTATCCCCTCTTCCCCAGTGTACTAAAGAGGGTCTGTGTGGCTGAATGGAAGTCTTTCTGTTGTGTACATAGTCTATGGAATCCAATGAGTTGTGATTTGACAATGCCAGTGAATGTATGTTTTGGGTGATAACTGGACTTGTGGAGTAGGGCGTGTGTGTCTGTGTCCTTGAAATATACTTTTGTTTGTAAGGAGACTATGTGCGTGTCAGTATCTGGGGGGAAAAATGGTTGTGTCCAATAAGTTGATTGTATGTGGGTGGATGACATATTTAACTGTTATGGTAGGATGATGGTTTTTGAGTATTTAAATTAATGTTGTGAAATGTACCAGATCATGTTCCCACACTCTGAAGATATCATCCAGGTATCGTATATAAAACATGGGACGCAATGGGCATTTAGCCAAGGCTGTCAACTCCCAGTCTGCCATATAAATATTAGCATAGGCCGGGGCGAACTTTTTGCCCATCGCCGTCCCATGAATCTGTAGGTAGTGTTTGTTAATAAATGTGAAATCACTGTACACATACAGTGTACAGAACAGATTCAGACAAGCATGTACGGTTGGCATTTTGCACAATGAGGGAAACTTTCTCAGAAGCCTTCTAAACTGCTGAGCATGCAGTATGGCACTGAGCCGGTTATACACACACTCCCTCTCTCTGAAACACACACACACACACAAACACACCTGTGCCCGTCGCTGAAGAGAGCTCTGGGAGAGTCCAGAGTATCCCAGTCCAGCTCAGCTCAATTCCTTCCTTCCTTCCTTCCTTCCTTCCTTCCTTCCTTCCTTCCTTCCTTCCTTCCTTCCTTCCTTCCTTCCTTCCTTCCTTCCTTCCTTCCTTCCTTCCTTCCTTCCTTCCTTCCTTCCTTCCTTCCTTCCTTCCTTCCTTCCTCCCTTCCTTCCTTCCTTCCTTCCTTCCTGTCTGTCTGTCTCTGTCGCTCTGGACCGAGCTAACAGCTCTCAGTATCGGCACAGCACGCTTTCTTCCACTGTTCAGGATGTGTGTGTCTCACTTTTCTCCTCTTCTCGGAGCACAATTCGTCAGCTACTGTAGCATGTGTGCCTCACTGTCTGTGAGTGTCTGTGAGTGTCTCAGTATCTGTGAGTGTCTGTGAGTGTCTGTGAGTGCCTCAGTGTCTGAGTGTCTGTGAGTGTCTGTGAGTGTCTCAGTGTCTGTGAGTGTCTGTGAGTGTCTCAGTGTCTGTGAGTGTCTGTGAGTGTCTCAGTGTCTGTGAGTGTCTGTGAGTGTCGACAGAGGCAGTTTGTAGGTGAAGAAGAGAATAGAGGCCAAGTAGAATAAATGCAATGAGAAGAAAATACACAGGGAGAAATACACAGGGAGAAATACACAGGGAGAAATACACAGGGAGAAATACAGAGGGAGAAATACACAGGGTTAAATACAGAGGGAGAAATACACAGGGAGAAATACAGAGGGAGAAATACAGAGGGAGAAATACAGAGGGAGAAATACAGAGGGAGAAATACAAAGGGAGAAATATCAAGTGAAAGAGCGGAGGAGGAGGGGGAAAAAGATTCAGAGACACAATACGGTGACAAGGTGACGCTGTGCCCGCATCCCTCTATTCACTCCACCTCCTTCATTTCTTCTCTCCATTTTCCTCATTTTATTTAATCACTCTTTTCTCCCACAATCGTTTTTTTTATTTTGTATTAACCCTTCCACCGTCCCCCCTCTTCGGGGAGAACACCTGCTCTTTCCATGACATAGACTGGGTGAATCCAGGTGAAAGCTATGATCCCTTAAAGATTTCACTTGTTAAATCCACTTCAATCAGTGTAGGTGAAAGAGAGGAGACAGGTTAAAGGCTGTTTAAGCCTCGAGACAATTGAGACATGGGTTGTATGTGTGCCATTCAGAAAGTGAATGGGAAAGACAAAATATTTCAGTGCCTTTGAAAAGGGTATGGTAGTAGGTGCCAGGCGCACCGGTTGTAGTGTGTCAAGAACTGCAACGCTGATGGGTTTTTAACGCTCAACAGTTTCCTGTGTGTATCAAGAATGGTCCACCACCCAAAGGACATCCAGCCAACTTGACACAACGGGAAGCATTGGAGTCAACATCCTTGTGGAACGCTTTCGACACCTTGTGGTCCATGCCCCAACGAATTGAGGCTGTTCTGAGGGCAAAAGGGGGGGGCAACTCAATATTAGGAATGTGTTCATAACGTTTTGTACACACAGTGTAAATGTCTCATTATAGGGCTCCATTAAAATATACAGTATTCATGAGGGACTTGTGGGAGTTGAACTTTACATTGTATTTCGTCGTCAACACACAAACCAGACATAGGTCCCAACTGGGCTGCTGAAGCATTGATGGTCTAATTGTCATGAACGGAATATGTGAGTGAGCCTTTGTGTGAGGTCAGATAACCTCACCAAGTTGCACTAAATAAATAAGGACTCACAAACAGACTTGTCCCTTCGCTTGTGTATGTACAGTTGAAGTCGGAAGTTTACATACACTTAGTTTGGAGTCATTAAAAATTCCACACATTTCTTGTTAACAAACTATAGTTTTGGCAAGTCGGTTAGGACATCTACTTTGTGCATGACACAAGTAGTTTTTCCAACAATTGTTCACTTATAATTCAATGTATCACAATTCCAGTGGGTCAGAAGTTTACACACACTAAGTTGACTGTGCCTTTAAACAGCTTGGAAAATTCCAGAACATGATGTCATGGTTTAGAAGCTTCTGATAGGTTAATTGACATCATTTGATTCAATTGGAGGTGTACCTGTGGATGTATTTCAAGGCATACCTTCAAACTCAGTGCCTCTTTGCTTGACATCTTGGGAAAAGCAAAAGAAATCAGCCAAGACCTCAGGAAAAAAATGGTAGACCTCCACAATTCTGGTTCATCCTTGGGAGTAATTTCCAAACACCTGAAGGTACCATGTTCATCTGTACAAACAATAGTACGCAAGTATAAACACCATGGGACCACGCAGCCGTCATACCGCTCAGGAAGGAGACACGTTCTGTCTCCTAGAGATTAATGTACCTTGGTGTGAAAAGTGCAAATCAATCCCAGAACAACAGCAAAGGACCTTGTGAAGATGCTGGAGGAAACAGGTACAAAAGTATCTATATCCACAGTAAAACGAGTCCTATATCGAAATAACCTGAAAGGCTGCTCAGCAAGGAAGAAGCCACTGCTCCAAAACCGCCATAAAAAAGCCAGACTACGGTTTGCAACTGCACATGGGGACAAAGATCGTACTTTTTGGAGAAATGTCCTCTGGTCTGATGAAACAAAAAAAGAACTGTTTGGCCATAATGACCATCATTATGTTTGGAGGAAAAAGGGGGCGCCTTGCAAGCCGAAGAACACCATCCCAACCGTGAAGCACGGGGGTGGCAGCATCATGCTGTGGGGGTGCTTTGCTGCAGGAGGGACTGGTGCACTTCACAAAATAGATGGCATCATGAGGAAGGAAAATTATTTGGATATATTGAAGCAATATCTCAAGACATCAGTCAGGAAGTTAAATCTTGGTCGCAAATGGGTTTTCCAAATGGACAATGACTCCAAGCATACTTCCAAAGTTGTGGCAAAATAGCTTAAGGACAACAAAGTCAAGGTATTGGAGTGGCCATCACAAATCCCTGACCTCAATCCTATAGAACATTTGTGGGCAGAACTGAAAAAGCGTGTGCGAGCAAGGAGGCCTACAAACCTGACTCAGTTACACCAGCTCTGTCAGGAGGAATGGGCAAAAATTCACCCAACTTATTGTGGGAAGCTTGTGGAAGGCTACCTGAAACGTTTGACCCAAGTTAAACAATTTAAAGGCAATGCTACCAAATACTAATTGTGTGTATGTACTTCTGACCCACTGGGAATATGATGAAATAAATAAAAGCAGAAATAAATCATTCTCTCTACTATTATTGTGACATTTCACATTCTTAAAATAAAGTAGTGATCCTAACTGACCTAAGACAGGTAGTTTTTACTAGGATTAAATGTCAGGAATTGTGAAAAACTGAGTTTAAATGTATTTGGCTAAGGTGTATGTAAACTTCCAACTTCAACTGTGTGTGTGTGTGTGCGTTTGTGCGTGTGTGTGAGAGTTTTGCCGAGTCGGCTGCTAGCTGTTTCTCTCTCTGTTCTGCTGAGGACGCACTCTGGGCTGTAGGAGGTCACAAAATGACAGCTCACATGCACACGCACACACACACACACATACACACACACACATACACACACACACACACACACACACACACACACACACACACACACACACACACACGCACGCACACACACACACAAACACACACACAAACACACACACACACACACACACACACATACATACATACACACACACACACTGTGCAGAGGTCCCTGTGCCTTTTAAATCTCCTCAGCAACATTTATCTCTGTTTATATCCAGTGATAAAACAGGGAGTGTCCAGACAGACAGTGGGACAGCAGCACGGTAATATGAAGCCATGAAAATGGAAATTCAGCTCGGCTTTTAACGGCCCCCAAAAGAGTAGAGTTGAGGTGCGGTGCGGCGCTGCGCTGAGCAGCAAATATATTTTAAACTTGTTAAACTGCTTTCCCCAAAGTCAGCCTCTCTCAGCCAGGCCACGTATGCAGAATGCATGCAGATGGGTGAGAGTTAGAGTGCGTCCCAAAATGACACCGAATTCCCTATATTGAGCATTACTTGTGCCCTGGTCAAAAGTAGTGCACTGTACAGGTCGTAGGGTGTTATTTGGAACACACTAATTGATGGATCCTCCTAGAGCTGTTAACCAGTGGGAAGTCTTTGTTGACTCATCAAAACGTATAGAACGTCATTATCAGAGGATATTTTGTTAAATGAAAAACTGTAATAATCATACAAGCTTGCTTAATAGCTGGAATGGATTGATTGAAAACTGCCTTTGATAACTGCCTTTGATGGACAGATGAAGATGAACTGATTCTAGATTTGTGCCTAGAGGAATCCTAATTGTTGAGGTTAGGTTATGGGGATGGTGAACTGATCCTAGATCTGTGCCTAGAGGAAACTTTTCCCCAGATCACAGAAGGGTTTGTTTCCATCAGCATATGTTGCCCTGTCAACCAGAAAATGTAAAATCATACACACAGAGAGACCATAAAAATCTGTAATCCGCAAGTGTGCCGTAATAAAGCTGTTTGAGTTTGTGTGTGTGTGTATATATGTGTGTGTGTGTGTGTGTGTACAGTACCAATCAAAAGATTGGACACACCTACTCATTCAAGGGATTTTCTTTATTGTTTACTATTTTTTACATTGTAGAATAATAGTGAAACATTAAAACTATGAAATAACACATATGGAATCATGTAGTAACCAAAAAAAGTGTTAAACAAATCAAAATAGCCAGCCTTTGCCTTGATGACAGCTTTGCACACTCTTGGCATTCTCTCAACCAGCTTCACCTGGAATGCTTTTCCAACAGTCTTGAAGGAGTTCCCACATATGCTGAGCACTTGTTTTCTACAATGTAGAAAATAGTAAGAATAAAGAAAACCCCTTGAATGAGTAGGTGTGTCCAAACTTTTGACTGGTACTGTAAGTATGTGTGTGTGTGTGTGTGTGTGTGTGTGTGTGTGTGTGTGTGTGTGTGTGTGTGTGTGTGTGTGTGTGTGTGTGTGTGTGTATCTCATAAAGTAGTTCTTGCTGAGCACGACTTGTTTAGAAGCCTCATATCTCTCTGTTTGTTTCAATGAAGGACACACACACATCCACCGTCCACCAAAATAACAGACATCTCGTCGTGACAAGAATGACGAAAGAATAACACATCAACAGTCTTTCTATTCCATCAGTGCTGTGCCATCTCAACTCATCATGTAACAGCCAGACAGACAGACAACATTAACAACAGTCTTTCTATTCCATCAGTGCTGTGCCATCTCACCTCAT